GAAGTGTACGTTTTCTTTTAAAATTTCTTAGCAGTAAGAGAAAGGCGCTCGTCGGGGTGACATTACAATATGATGACAACATCTAAGCTAATTAATTACCTAATGTTCATTCCATTATTTGGCTAATATTCAGCAAAAACCGGCTTACGAGCCTAAATCGTTTTATCGGAAATTATCATGTAAATAAATAACAAATTACACATTGCAATAAATATATGTACTTTTTTTTTTTTACTTTTATCCTCTTCACCACTGATCGGCTCGTTAGCCGCTTGGGCGATCGGTCACGTCTCTGATTACTTTTCCTTGTCTTTTATCCTCTTTACCAAAAGATCGGCTCGTTAGCTGCTTGGGCGATCGGTCACGTCTCTGTTACGCACTGTTGGCAAGTACTGGACATGGCAACTAGACATAATCCTGACAAATAGGTAGTAGGTAGTAGGCAGCTATCAAACAGGGAGGTACTGTAGTGGATTTCTCCCCTACAAACGCTGTTTGTCGCTGAGTAGCCGACCCCGCGAATTCCACAGTGTATGCCTCGTGGTCTACTGTAGGTCAACCAGCGCCGCCCACGGAGCGGGGGTCAACTATTAAGCCACGTCTACCTCCGCTATTTAAGACCTGACCTCGTGGTGACCTGTCTCTTCTTCTAGCTACAGCCGCAGCAAGTAACACCACCTCCTCCACCGCTGCCTGGGGGTCCTCGCTCCCGCCGGCGAGCATGGCGACCCACAAGCTGTCCTCCTCTGAGCATCCTCACCAACCAGCTCTCTCTACATCACGCTTGTAACCACGCTGCCACTTCCCAGCACCAAGCTGCATTGTACATCCAATACAACATGTATATAGAGAGCACATTGTGAGTTTCCTTTCTCCATCCCATCCTGAGTGTGAACCCAAACATCCCATATCCCACAATGGTGACCCCGGAGTGACGCACTCACAGGATGGAGGAGAAAGAACCCAAACATCCCATACCCCACATTACTACCGCCTGGGAAGATATTGGAAGCATAATGTGTTGTCTAATGGTAGACCCTGCTGCCATATGGCATCACGAAAATTGTGACCAAGTCCCAGGTTGCTGATCTGATTTTCTGCCTCATTTACACACAATTGCAGGGTCTTAGTTGTTTCTCTTACTATTGACAACACAACATACATATATTGTTTATCACTTTTGATCTTTAATTTTTTTATTTCTTTATGGTTCCTTATTATTATTATTATTATTATTATTATTACAATTATTATTATAATTATTTTTATTATTATTATCATTATTACATTTTCGCCCCCCAGGCCCTGATGTGGGTGAGTGACCTGTGCCCCGGTGGACTAATCCCCGTAAAAAAAAAAAAAAAAAACTGACCTCGTGTTCAACCTTAATACTGTACAACCCATGTTGTACTGCTTCCCTATAATATTTATGTTTTTAAATTTCACTGTAACTTATGTATAATACTTATAATATAAATGTAAAAAAAAAATAAAACTAAATAAACATAAATAATATTGAAGTGATAACCGTGGTAACATTCTGCGATGTTCTTATTACCACCATGCTATGTATACTATTCCAGATGATACTAAATGTTACATAATACTTCCTTGAGATAAATGTACAGTATATATCAGGTGCCCACAGGAGAGCTCAGGTTCTCAACTGGCTCAGCCATGATATTGTTATTATTATCCACTCTGTATCTGTGTTTTTCTGGCTAAATACATTGTTTCAATTCAATTCAATTCAGTTTTTGTGGAATATTTATTACCTAGTAGGTGTCAGGTAAGATGTCAATAGGTCTTAAGGAACTGCTATGCGTCCATCAGGGTTACGCAAGTTTAATTATTTTTTTAAGTTTTACTGGATGTATGAATTTCTGTAATTTAAAGTTTAAGGTTATTTATGCATGTACGTAGGGTACGAACATAAAGGTTTTTAGTAGATAAAGCGGTATTATTTTACTTTAGGACATCGCGCGCCCGAAAGTTATAACTGCTGAAGCATTTAGATCTCCCTATTCTGAGTATTTGAACCCCACATATACCAGGCGGAAATGGATAATAGCGACACAATTAAATTTAGTTGGTTTTACGTAATTTTCAATCTTCGTCTCTGAGATGTTATCGGCGCATCACGCATGCGCAATTGACTGACGTCATCCTGTCGTGACCAAAGACTATAAGAAAGACAGGAAAGCAACAGATGGCGTTAGCGTGCAAGGAGCGGGGTCGTTTGAACGTCGTCTGTCAGGGGCCCGCAACCTTCCCTTTTCCGGCCGTATGTAGCCGGGAATTGTTATATAGTCTTTGGTCGTGACTAATGATGTATCGATATCACCACGCGAATTTTTTTCGACCAATCACATTTGATTTTTTTTCAAAAGAAGCATACTTGTTATTGCCTCCAACGACGTGCAACGCAAAAGACCTCCATTAATTTATGCCAACCAGCATGAGCTTAAGCTTGTTCATGCATGCCGGCCCAGTTGTTTCCCGTATCTCTCCTCATGGTCCGAATCCAAGAGAATCTTTTTTTTCTTGTTCCCCCAGGGGCAAAGACTATGAAAGACGGGAAAGCTCAGGCATAAACAACACAACTAGGTGTAATATTTTCTCAGTGCGTATAGCGCCCTATCAAGTATCTTTCTCAACAGGGTGCTGAATACTAATAAATGCAAACACAGTGGCTTCTATTTAGCTTTTTGTCAGGGTGCCAACCTGGGGGATAATTAATGGCCGCGTCCATTACAGGTGAATGCTGAGCTTTCCCGTCTTCTCAGTCTTTGCCAGGGGTCACCTCACAGCTTCCCTTATTGTTCTCAGGTTGAACTTGAAGAATGTGTCCCATCTCCATCGGTCTTCCATCAGCCACTCATTAACATACTTACGTTCGCAGTTTCCCATATCATCTCGTTTTTGACACGATCCTGCCACCGTATTCTCCTGAATGCTTTGTTTTCGAATGTCCAAAACTGTTCGGCAGTTCGTGGATAGTTTTGTTATCTTATCATGCTGTCAGCGCTCAGTGGTTGTAAACAAAGTCAAATGAAATGCTATCTGTAATTTTCATGAGTATGTATAAAAATATTCTAATGATGGTATTGTAGTGGACGTCTCCCCTACAACTGCCTAACTGCGTAGCCACGCCACCACCTGTTACCGTCTTCCCTAGCAACCAAGCGTATCCGCATTCCAATGCCCGCCGTATCTTAGCAACGGAACTAGTCACCGGCTACTTCTCGGGTTTTCCCACCATGACTCATAGCCGCTGCTAAGCTCTGCCTCTCCCTTGAGATTCATTCTGACCATTCTTCTTGAACAAGCAACACCTCCTCCTCCGCCGCTGCCTGGCGGCCCCTCGCTTCTCCTCGCCTGCCTGGCGGTCCTCGCTCCCGCCAGCGAGCATGGCGACCCACCAGCTGTCCTTCTCTGAGCTTCCTCACCAACCAACATTCATTCTGCCCATTTTCCTGAACAAGCAACATCTCCTCCAGCAAGCTCCTAGCTGTCCAGCATTCATTCAATCAGGAGGCCAGCAACAGGCATCATCTTCTCTAACGAATCTCCTGCACATCTACCTCCTTCACCAAGCTACTCACTGAACGTCTCTATTGACCAGCTCCTCACCACACGGCACCTCCAGCACCAGACTGTCTATCATATAACTTATATATTATACAAGAAAACCACATTAGAGTTTCCTTTCATCCTGAGTGCTAGACAACATTAATATCTCGATACCCCTACAGTATATCTGCATTAAAATCACTTACATTTTTCTTACTAATTTCGAAAAATAAATGTCTTTCAACTATGTTAAAAAGCCCTAATTGGAGGCGAAATAGTCCAAACTTGCTCGAGAACTCGTTCCTTCCATTTTCGGTAAAATTGCAGTTTCCCTCCCAATTGGTTTTTGATCAGAAATCTAGGTTTTTCCCATGGTATTTGGTGTCATTCATTCGAATTTGACCACAATTTCCGTCGAAAATAAATCGGTTTTGAGTTATCACCCCCTCCAACAATAATACCACATTTTCCTCATGATGATGATGAGGATTTATGGAATTTAGGCTCAAAGCCAAGCACAGGAGCCAATAGGCCATTCAGTGCTGTTCCATTTTCCTCAGATTTCAGGTTTTGGGTGAAATTCTGACTGAGATTGGCGGTATCACCGTATTCTCCTGAAGAATACGAAAAATTTGCTGTGATAATCCCTTTAATAAACATATTCGTAGTTTGAATGGCTCTTCAGTCTCTCCGTGAATTCTGTTTCACACGACCCTATAGTTCCTAATAAGGATGTCCAGGTGTTTACAGACATACTTCGCCAATATTTCGTCTCTCTACAATTGCCTATTCAGTTCTTAACGTATATTGATTGTCAGACCAACTCTTTTCCCCTTCTCTTCTAGCCTACTCGCCATCGCCTGTAGGTTTTGTGTACAATATTTCTACTTATAATCCAACGCCTCCTTCCTAACAAAATCGATAAACACAGTAAATAGTAGCAGATGAAACAAATACACAAAAACAATAACAAGTATCCTACATTTGGTTGGTCCACACACTTGACAAAACATAAAGGCTCACAGAATCCTTCCGACATACGATTTCTGCAAGATTTTGTGGACATACCACCATCACACACACACACACACACACACACACACACACACATATATATATATATATATATATATATATATATATATATATATATATATATATATATATATATATATATATATATATATATATATATATACATATATATTCTTCATCGTAGTTATCTAGAGCATCCTATTATACTGTGCTTAATAATACCATATTTAACAGAATATCCTATTAGCCGTTGATTTTGTTTCATTTCCTACATCAACTTTCTCATACAAATTTCAGTTAACGACAAACTGACTGTCTTGTTAAGCATCACATTATACTGTAAAGTGTAAATAAGGAACATTGGCGAATAGGGGACTAGAGAAAGAATGTCATTATAATCTGGACGTTTATTTGAATAATTATTTTTTTGTTCCGCTTTACAACCTGTTATGTATCATTGTGAAGAACTTGGCCTCAAGTCCTTGGCTTCTCTTCCCCACCTGCACCTAGATTCACATACTTGTATATGGAAAATTTCATCCCAAAGCAATGTGTTAATCAATTTAGTTGCAAGTTCTCTTTCTCTCTATGATACTGGGGAAAAACTCAAGAGCACATAGATTCTCCCCAAATTAAAATGAGATTCAAACGTTACTTGTATTATACTCTCCCTCCAGCTAGTGAAAAAAGTACGCACCTTTTGAGAATCTGTGGTGTGATTCAGAGGAATGAATCAAGTCTACGGCAAACTCACACTAACAGTAACCATACACCAATATTGAATTTAAAGGTAATAATGGGACATAAATTTGGATTAAGGAAAAGAAGAGAGCATCAGGCACTGATCATAGCCAGTGTGAGGTTGAAACAAGCCGTGAGTACAGTTTCGTGACAAGGGAGGAAACCTAAAGATCGTAAAATATAAGTATAAATTAGTCTATTATTAGGTAATGTGATAAGCAAGGAATTCTAATTTAGTAATAATAATAATAATAATAATATTAATAATAATAATAATGATAATAAAATGGCTCAAAATTAATAAAAAGTCTTAATTATAAATGTGATACACAATAATGCCAGAGCAGAACGAAGTGACATACAGTTTGCCACATGGAATCATTACTAGTTGCTTTTATGTTTGCATTTGGGCGACCCTAATATAACTATGCGTGTCCCTAGTGACATAACATACACCATCGTTACACTTACTTGTTTGTATTTTTCATGAACAATAAGTAAAACCTATTATCATTACTGTTAAGTTTCCTGTTTTTGAAGCCTAAAACACTTTAAAACCATAATTGGTTACAGTAAACATTATGCAAAAGAATAATAATTCTAGGTGTTTATATGACAAATGAATTACTTTATAAATAAGAATAGTTTACCAATAAATAAAATTAAATAACATCTAAAATAAGCCTATACCAGTAAAAAAAAACCTTAAGAAAACACTGAACGAGATCAAGTGGTAACACATTAAGAATGGTGTACAGTGCTTCGTTATTTCCAGCACTGGTCTTAAATAAAAAATCCCAGATTAATGACAACAATACGTTGAATAATCCATTTGATGAGCTTATTCTAAGGAATTCAGTAAGTGTAAATCTAGAAGACTTGATGAACTTTTTTCACATTTGTATTATGTATATGTGATTTTTTTATTGTAAGTTGGCGTATTGGTTCCACTCCATTTACTTGAGAATAAAAGAATAATGCGAGACTGATTGACAATTGGACAAAATTATGGAAATGTCTAATATTCCAAAACAGACTGTCAAATCCTGCCAACATTAAGTCTATTACTGCTTATAATCATATATATCCCACATATCATTATAAAGTATCTGCTATACCATTGAAAATCTTTTTTATAAACATACCGCATTCACTATTTCCAAAATTTATAGAAGCATAGGACAACTACGTCTATAGCTGAACGGTTAATTTTCATAGTCCTGCATTGTAATTCTATATTGACTTTAAGCCAGAGAGCGGTTTGTCACTGATTTACAAGATAATCACGCCCACGATCACTACACGACAGGAAGGTCCTATTATTATAACCTGACATGGAAAAGAAAACGGGACCAGTCTTTGTTAGTAAAAGGAGACCGAGTATACTTTTATAGTACTGTAATGGATTAATCTTCATGGATGTGTCGCTTTACCTTCTTAAAGGTAATAACTTTGTTTGTGTCTCGCACCCCAGTGAGGGGCTTATGACAGTCTTACAGGAGATAAGTAGGAATTAAGTAAATGGATCTAAGAACTTAAACTACTGAGCATTTACAACCCTTTAGATCCAGTTTCCCAACTAAAGCATGGCCACAGTGGCCAAGGTTCTCCACCTAAGTCGTATCTGGTTGCCTGGCCGCAGAACGAACCTCCAACCTATCAAGTATACAAAGTTTTGTATATAATTTTTAGCAGTGCTCAAGCGAATGAAGCCATCATTCATTTTGTCTTCCTGTAAAGTCATGGTGTTTGGTGCAGGTTACTTGACGGTTCAGGGCTTGCTGGCATGTCTGCGGGCATGCTTTTTCCAATGTCTCTGGGTACGTTCTTCACAGCGGTGACCCGAGTAACCACTCCTGCAAGAGCACACGTGGACACCATCCTCTATGTTGCACTTTCCGCCGCGACGACAAAATCCTTTTGGACAACCCAGTTCAGCACATACAGGACCTGAAGAGCAATAAAATTAATAGTACACGAAAATAAAATTGATAAAGCAACAGAGGATACAAGCTTCACTACAATATAATATTATATAACTGTAGCCTGCAGCACTCTAAGGCCTACAGAAATTGCCACATATATACAGTATATATATATATATATATATATATATATATATATATATATATATATATATATATATATATATATATATATATATATATATATATATATACGGTGGAACACTGGCAACGGGCTGCCAGTATTTCACAGTAAGAGTTACGGTACATTTTTTACAGTGTATCTGGTAAAGTGTATAGTATGGTAGTCTTTTGGCTGTGAGAAAAGTGACAAATATAGAGATTGTATTAGGGGAAGAACAGTGTGGGTTCATAAAAGGCAGGGTTTGCATAGGGAGGATGAATGGCATGGAAAGAATTTACAATATACAGTACGTGTATTTTCTTTTGTTTATAGCGACCCTGTATCTTAATAAAAGAGAATAAGCTTCATACTATGTAACTGAAATGTCAGTCCCGCTACAGACCTTTAAAGCCAAAATTGCAGGCACAGATAGGACCGTGCAGACCGGCCAGACAAGTTCCTCCATAGTGGCACGGGTTGGGTTGACACACATCTGTCGTGTTCTCCTCCACAGTGACATTTACGCTTGTTCCTGAAGTATGTGATGAAGACACTGAGGCAGGGGTCACGTAGGAGGTCCCAGCAGATTCAAGTGCCGCTGGATAAGAAACCTGAGAGATGTGGGTTTAAATTTAGTTTTAATTGAATGAAATATAACTATTAGGTCATTCAATGACAAATTACGGTTGCATCTCAAAAGCTTATTTAGGATCAAAGTCTTGTTATAAAAAATAACAGGTTTATAATTTTAAGAAAGAATTACTATTTAAATCTAAAGGAAGAATCATACAACACAGAAACCCAAATGAAGTATTCAACAGTAGTGAAACTGTGTTTACCTACATTACACGTCTACCAAAATACTGCACAGTATTTCATTAACAGCTAAATCAGATGAATGGGTTTTTAAAAATTTCCCTGAAACATCTCTCATACGTATACTGTATTTTATTCCATTAAGTATTAAGACCTAAAACAAAACAAGAAAGAAAAGAAAAAGCTAAGGAGGGCCAGAAAGTTTACCTGTGCTGGCACATCAGAGTATTGGCGCTTGTTCTCTTGGACCAACTGTCCATCCTGGAACCTGCGAGATTCCTCGTAACCGTGGACCAGCTGACCGTCCTCATAGTGCTCCTCAGCATTTATCTCTCTCCTCTCGCTGTATCCTCCATCCACCACTCCCGGGTAACCATGGGAAGCCCTGTGAGACGAGTCTTGACTGGAATATCCCGAGCCTCCCAAAAGGACACAGGTGAGACATCCCGAAGGCCTCGTTCTTCCTGGCGAATGTTGCTGAGATGAACCTCTGTAGGACTCTGAGCCATAGGTGGACGATGATGATGATCCACCTCTTTCATAAGCAGATGATCCACTACGTATAGAGTCTGATCCAGTCAATGAGGAACCTGATCCGCCCAGCACTATGGTAGTAGCACCGTTGCGCCTTGTGGAGGATTCCTCACTAGCTGAAGTAGATCCACTTATGGATCCTGAACCACCATAGGTTCCCAAGGAACCATCATGGGCAGTTGAGGAGCTGTGTGATTCTCTAGTTTGCGACACTGTCGATCCACCATAGGATTCAGCACTCTGAGAAGTCTCCTGTAACTCACCATGCGACCCATAGGCCCCAACTCTAGAGGAGTCTGCATTCCTATTGTACGAGGACTGTGAGGGTGTGTTGAGGGTGTTACCTGCCAGGATTTGGTGGAGGGCATCATAGTTGCCGGCACCACCCAGTGCTTTCTCGTCCAGCTCAGTCCTGTTCTCATACACCAGCGACCCGTTCTAACCAAAGACAAAAATGAACACTATATTGAAAAAGAGAATATTTACCTTATTGTACGCACACATACACACTCTCTCTCTCTCTCTTTTTATAAGAGAACTTATAAATTAACTGTATAAAAGTCAATCATTCAGCAGTCACTAAATCAACAGTCAAGAGGCCAGTGTTCGCTAAGTTAACAATGAGGTATTTCAAGTACACTCTAAGTTTAAAGAAACAATCAAGGTTCTCAATTTTACGAGTCAAGAGAAAGGTGTTTCTTAATTAACAATCATGGGGTGAGGTTCAACATGGTGGAGGGAGGAGGGGGTGTAACTCACATGGAAGCGACGCTCGTGGTGAAGGTCGTACACTGGGAGTCCGTCAACATATTCCTGCTGGCGACGTGTCTCGTAACGACGGCGCGTGTACTGAGGAACCACTGACACCCGTCCAGTTCCAGACACCTGCAGCGAGGTACAGGAATGAGTTCAATGTGCTAGCACCACCACCACCATACAATTGGCATACCATCCAAAATACCACCAATATACCATAGTACTACCACCCACACCACCATCAATGCACTGTGCAATCACTATCATCTGCACCACCACTCCCTGTAAACAACTATCCCCACTACCACCATTGCCACAGATATACCACATCTAACCACTGAAGAAGAGACAAAATGGCATATTTTGTGGGTACACTGTCCATGGTTTTACAAGTTTATATACTAGACTTTATACACTAAATGCGTCACATGGAACACCAGCATTAGGTATGGCTGGTTAGTCACTCGTAACCAAGCCAGGGAGCTGATGAAGCACCTATGACAAAATTTCAAGTTGATAACATTATTTTAAAAAATACTTTTACTTGTCATAATTAACATTAACACCACTAAGAAATATTTTCTTAGATCTTAAAATTTAGAATCTATCTATGAAATGCTTGAAGATTAGATAGTGAAACACATGACCCACCTGATGTGTCTGAGTGGAGCGGCCTACACCACCTCCTGCGACCCGGCCAGAAGTCACCTGCTGTTGAAGATGCTGCGACTGTGTCACCTCGTGCCTGGAGTCACTGGCCACCTGGTTGTCCAGGTAAGACACGCCCAGGCGACCCTCGCTTAGTCTTCCAACACCAAAATCATCCTCGTCCTTCTCCGTCCGGTTCTCATGAACAAGATGGCCATCCTCAAAGCGGCGCTCATGGTGCAGATCGTACACTTGTTCGCCATTCACGAACTTCTTTTCCTGTTTAACCTCGTGTTGCTGAGAGTAACTCCCAGGATGGTAGCTGCCTTGCATCAGTTCCAGTTGGTCATCACCATAAGCACTCAGGTCCATACCGATCAACTCGTCACCACCGTGATCTGTATTGTTCTCGTGAATTAGTTCCCCATTTTCATACTGCCGCTCGTGATGGGTGACCCCCACAAGGCGTCCATTGAGGTACTTCTTGGTAGTGCGAATCTCGGAGCGCTGAGAACCTATCAGCGGGGAGCCAACGATTACACAACCCTCTGACTCTGTGCATGCTGTTGATGAAGAACCTGATAATGATCCAGCGAGTGGCTCTAGCGGCTGCTGATCTCTTACGACTGAGGAGTGTCTACGGCTTTCATTGTAGTGGTGATAACTAGAGCCTACAGATCCTGGGTAGGTATTTCTGGTTTCATCAGCGACTGATGCCCTTGAATTATCATAACGGGTGTGGGAAACTGAGGGGGTAGCCTGACCAATGAGGTCACCTTGTCTAGTGTGGGTGCTGTTGTAGTAGCGCGATGAACTGGAGTAGCCTGAGTAAGGCCCTCGCTGATCGTGACCCGATAATCCATCATCATGCGAGTTATACAGACCAGATGATTCATCAGCACGCGTATGGAAAAGGTCGGAGGATTCATCAACACGCGAATTGTATGAGTCATCCTCATAATCTTGGCTGAAGTCACTACTATCAACTTCGATGTCAACTCGAGGCAAGAAAGCAGAATCCATTTCGTTATCAACGGATGGAATTTCATATACATAGCCATCTTCATGAGGGCTGATGTCATAGCGCTCTTTGTTGTTATCATCGTCGCCATCATCGTCACTAGACACTGGTCCAATTATCGCTCCTGGAATACCCACTTGCTGCTGTTGCCCATAACTGTGGATACTGTCATCATCTGAATGCTGAGACTCGTACAGAGAAGAATGATGCTCTTCCTCCTGGGTGTCATGACGTCGCCCACCATGGCTGGTACCTAATAACTGGTCAGTAAGGGACGCCTCTGAATCTGATGAAGACAGGTCAAAGGTCACAGTGTGAGCTCTATCCCTGGAACCAGAAGTGTGTGGTAGCCTGGGCGAGGAGCTCCTAGAGGTCTCGGCCCTTCTACTGTCATAAGCACTGTTTCGCTCGTCTGAGATTTCCGACTGCATGTGACTGTAACCTCCTGTAGGACTTGGTCTGTAGGGCTGTCTGTACCCACCTGACTCCCTGTGTGAGGACTCGGACCTCTCTTGTGTAATCTGTGTAATGGACTGACCTGGATTGGGATTTCTAGCACTTTGTTGTACCAATGTTCTTTCTAAGTCACCGAGGTCATCAGGAGAAGCCTTTGAACCCCTATGACCGCTAATGCGTCTTGTCTGAGATACATCCATATGTGATGAAGTGGACTCGCGGGAATCTTCGGAGTAGTGTGATGAAGAACTTCCAGAAGATTGTCTGTTGGAGGGGTATGAAGGGGAAGGTTGTCTAGACTCGGAACTTCCAGAAGCTAGTCTATAAGGATACGAGGTTGAAGTTTCCTGTGACTCTTCAGTATACCTTGTTGAAGACCTTCCAGAAGCTGGTCTGGGATTTGGCGAGTCTCCAGTATTTCGTGGTGAGTAACCTGAGGGTGGTGTATATGAAGTATGAGATCTCCCTGGAGTTGGCCTGTACGAAGGAGAGGAAGGTGAAGTTTCCCTCGAGTCTTCTGAATGCTGTGTTAAGGAACTTCCAGAGCTGTAAGAAGGATAAGAATGTGATGAGGAAGAGTCTCTAGATTGCTCAGTATATTGTGTTGAACTTCCTGAAGTTGGTCTATATGGAGGAGAGGAAGATGAAGTTTCCCTCGAGTCTCCTGAATACTGTGTTAAGGAACTTCCAGAGCTGTAGGAAGGATACGAATGTGATGATGAAGATTCTCTAGATTGCTCAGTATATTGTGTTGAACTTCCTGGAACTGGTTGGTGTGAGGTATAAGACACTCCTGAAGTTGGTCTATATGGAGAAGAGGGAGCTGTTTCTCTCGACTCCGACTCCCCAGAATACTGTGTTGAGGAACTTCCATAAGTTTGTCTGTGGGACGGATAGGAAGTGGGTGACGAAGATGCTCTTGAATCCTCAGAGTATCGCCTTGAAGAACTATCATAACTTGGCCTGTAGGAGGTTGATGAATCTCTTGTTTCTTGAGTATACTGTGTCGAGGATGATGGTCTGTATGAGGGGTATGAAGAGTATTGGTGGCGTCCCTGTGACTCTGAGGAATAGCCCGGTCGATACCTCGGATAAGTGTTCTGGTTGTCTCTGGATGAAATGGAGGAATGTTCTTGGTGCTCTTGACGATGTTCGTAATAACCACCAGAATGACTGTCTCCTACAGGCCCTGCAGAGTTATGCTCTCCGACGATGTTTCTTGTGCCAAGATCATCTGGACCTTTCTCCTCGGTGCGGTTGTGTACCAGTTGCCCATCTTTATATTTTCTCTCAACGTTCTTGACGTAGACTGGCCGACCATTTACATACCGGGCCTGGGAGTGTACCTCACTACGGTGATACGCAGGTTGACGTGATCCATAGGACATCATCTGACGCCTCAACTGCTCCCGCATACGAGCCATCTCAGAGTTAAAATCAGAAGATGAATCATGAGGTGCATCGTCAGAGCCATATCCAGTGGAACCAAGACTTTGACTTTGGACGTAAGACCCTTCTAACTCATCACCATAGCCAGGCTGGGTATACCGACTTGCTCCAGATTTGGTGTAACTACTACCACTGGAAGAGACCTGACTGCCAGAGTAACCGCTCACTGGCTGAGGCGAGAAACCCAGATCATTTTCGTCTTTCTCCGTCTTCTGGTCGTGAACAAGCTGCCCATCTTGGAAGCGACGCTCATGGTGCAGTTCGTAGACTGGTTGGCCGTTAACGAATTGCTGCTGACTGCGGACTTCCTGGCGGGAAGATGTGTGGGGAACATCTACAGGACCCATCATGCCCAGGCTGTCCATTCCGCCATAGGACCCTGAACTATAGCTGCTGCTGCTGCCGTAGCTTGAGGAACCCAGCCCACCGAGGGTGCAGGAGTAGCATCCTTTGTAGGAGGGGTATGGGGCCTGCCGCTGCTTGTGATAATATACAATGTTAAAACAAAACATGGGCAGCAATATGGGGTCACCACTAAACTATATAATGTCTTCCATGTCCATCTACAAAACCTTCGGAATAATATAACTACTACTGTACAGACAGACCAAGTTAGGTATTTTTGGTACAATTAACGATTGTCTTGTTAAAGAAAAAATATATTTTTTGCAATTATAATATTAATATTATATACTGTTATATAATGCAACAAACTCCTTATAAAGACAAGGTGTAACAAAACCCTTAAAGGTATAGGAATAACAGTAACTTGACTGTTTTATTGTTTGCATCAATATGGTGTTAGTGGAGTATTCTAAATGACCTACACAGTGAAGAATAAAGTCACACTTGTTCTCATATACAGTATATGCTGGTTTTAATATGAGGTCACCACGGGCACAAGAGTCTCTTTGAGGAACACCTCTTTCTGCCACAACAGTAAGCTCTCCTGCTCACTGTATACCATCATGATGCGAGGCTTTTATTACGAATGAACATGGGTAAAAAGTGTTGCCAACTGTTGATCTACTGTAAGATCTTGCGTAAACATTATTGCCAAGCGATGGTCTGAATTCCTGGATGTAGAGTGTTGCCAAGTGTTGACCTATGACTGAAAAGTGTGTTAAGAGTTGACTATGAGTCTGTATAAACTGTGTTGCCAAGTGATACTGACCTTGCGTCCCTGAGAGACCTCCATGGAGGGCCCCAGCACGTACTGGACCACGTGTGGGTCCCTCACCTTCTCTACCTCGTGGTCTGCACCTGTCAGACACCATGATGAGTTAACACAATATTGATATAACACTAAGTGAACACCATCCTCACACCACACTAAGTGAACACCATCCTCACACCACACTAAGTGAACACCATCCGAACACCACACAAACTGAACACCATCCTAACACCACGCTAAGTGAACACCATCCTAACACCACACTAAGAGAACACCATCCTAACACCACACTAAGTGAACACCATCCTAACACAACACTAAGTGAACACCATCCTAACACCGCACTAAGTGAACACCATCCTAACACCACACTAAGTGAACACCATCCTAACACAACACTAAGTGAACACCATCTTAACACCACACTAAGTGAATACCATCCTAACACCACACTAAGTGAACACCATCCTAACACCACACTAAGTGAATACCATCCTATCACCACACTAAGTGAACACCATCCTAACACCACACTAAGTGAATACCATCCTAACACCACACTAAGTGAATACCATCCAGTGAACACCATCCTAACACCGCACTAAGTGAACACCATCCTAACACCGTACTAAGTGAACACCATCCTAACACCACACTAAGTGAACACCATCCTAACACCACACTAAGTGAACACCATCCTAACACCACACTAAGTGAACACCATCCTAACACCACACTAAGTGAATACCATCCTAACACCGTACTAAGTGAACACCATCCTAACACCGCACTAAGTGAACACCATCCTAACACCGCACTAAGTGAACACCATCCTAACACCGCACTAAGTGAACACCATCCTAACACCGCACTAAGTGAACACCATCCTAACACCACATTAAAGTTTATACCATACCAGGTTAACACACCTAACTAGTTTCACACCACACTGAGTTAGGGTTAACACTCCACACTAAATGTCACAGAGTTAACACCACACTGAGGTGAACACTACTGAGTTAAAATCACAATAACAACAGACACAATGAGCCATCAGCACACCATGTTACATCAACAATTAGCCATACAAACAGTGAATCACACAAACACACACTTGTTACTATTAACAAACATCAAACCATGTCATATAAATTTACTCTTCATGGAGTCAACAAGTGAGGTCACACAAACGTATTTACACTCTACACGGGGTCAACAAATCCTAAGGTCACGTAAAATAAGGATTCGCGAATTACTAGGTCAACAAAACAGGTCACATAAAACACAGATCACCAAAAACAGCTTAGCACTTCTGGTCACATGAAGTATTAACTAACTCATTATAACGACAGCAACAAAAAGGGGGAAAGAATTAACTCGTAACAAACCTGTGGACTGGGCGTTCGTATGATGAGGTTTTCTATTTGCTGGTTTACGAACGCATCAAATTAGCTAACTTACGCCAAAGCACAAAAAATAGTCCCCAGCATTGAATGAAAAATACACGGAAACTCTACTTTAACTAGAAGTGTTCAATAACCACCATGACAGTCAGGGGGCACAATAAATCTCTGTGAACGGGGACGCTGGTCTAAATTCATATCTCAGAGTAACTGTTATAGGTAAGGGGAATATGGAGCAGTGGACGACTTACCTGGAGCCCCGGAGACGGTGGAGAGTGTCAAGATAACTGCCACCATAGCCATTACCCTCCGCCTAGCACTGCCCGACAGAGTCATGATGAAGATACACTACACTGGTGAGATACCTTCCCGACGGCACTCCGTTTCACACAACACTTCTCAAACTTTTGGCTCAAATGTCTTTGAAAATAACTAAAACTGTTTCCTTTGCTTAAGTTCTGGCACAAATTTTCTAAGGCTTTAAAATGAAAGGGGCGTGGCTCGGTGAGGCGTGCATGTGGGCGTGGTGATGTGGGGGCCGCGGCGGGCTGACCCAGAGTGAGGGGAGACTCTTGGGCTGCCCGTATTTATATTCTGGAGTTGCGTCGCTTCTGAGAAGCTCTGGGCCAGCTCACCGGATGAACCTCTACCCACACCGAGTATTACTCAGCCTCGTATTTGTATTAACATACACCAGTGGTGGTCATATGTGGCGTCACTTACCACTAAAAACACTGTAGGCTGTCACACCACACCCTAGGGCACTCATCTCTATTCAACCTTTAAACACAATTTCTTCACTCAAATTAACAATGAATCACTTAATGGTGTTCTAGATGAATTCTCTCCGTCTGGACGTCCAGTTTTATAGTTGTTTCAAGTATACAACAGGAGGCAGTAACGGGCAAGCTAGTGGCTCCACGAATAACTATAGACCGGTGAGCCTGAACAGCATCGTATGTAAAGTATTTGAGAGCATTATAAGAGATGCCATGATGGAACATCTACTACGAAACAACCTTGTAAAGGATTGCCAACACGGTTTTATGCCGGGGCGCTCCTGCTTAACAAAATTACTCAAGGTACTGGATATTTGGACCCAAATTCTGGAACCGGGAGGTAATATCGACAATGTATACCTAGATTTTGCCAAGACTTTCGACAGTGTACCTCATGAAAGGCTGAAAAATAAACTGGAAGGGTACGGGATTAGGGAAAATGTCCTAGCGTGGATCGGAGACTTTCTCCATGACTGCAAGCAGTGTGTGGTGATTAATGGCACGGAATCATCATGTGTACCCGTCACAAGCGGGGTACCACAGGGCAGTGTATTGGACAAGCTGTTGTTAGTTTGCTTCTTAAATGACATGCCTGACGCTGTACATTCCTCCATACAAATGTTTGCGGATGACGCCAAGTTATTTCGGGAAATTAAGAACCAAGCAGACTGTGAAGAACTGCAGAAGGATCTCTTTGAACTTCAAGAAGGGTCGGAGGAATGGCTGCTAAGATTCAATGTCACGAAGTGTAAGAGGATGCACCTGGGATGTACCAACGGTAAGGAGGCGTATTATATGTCCCAACGGGACGAAAAATTGCATTAAATGAGACAATGTGAAAAGGACCTAGGTGCGTACGTTGGCAATGAGCTGAAGTTCTCGGGCCATTGCAAGAAGAAGGAGAATAAGTCAACAAAATTATTAGGTCTTTTTAAGAAGGTCGTTCAGCTACCTAGACGGTCCGTCCCTCGTAACGATCTTCAAGGGTGAAGTGCTTCCCCGTCGGGAGTACTGTCACCCCGTCTGGTTCCCGAGATATGCTAGGGACTGATTGATAATGTCCAAAGGAGGTCCACCAAACTAGTGCCTGCACTACGGCACCTCAGCTACCCTGAGATTAGAGCACCTGAAATTGCCTAGCTTATACTACAGACAAGCAGGGGACATAATTGAGGTGTATAAACATATCAAAGGGCACTACTCAGTCGAATGTCCTTGCCTGGAGCTGGCGGACGCTCGCCCCACAAGGGCCCCAGCTCAAGGTTGAAGATACCGCAAGCCCAGAAAACTGTGAGGGGTAACTTTTTCGGTGTGAGAGTTGTGAACTCTTGGAACAATCTGCCAGAGAGTGTTGTGACGGCACCGAGTGTGAGCTCTTTCAAGACCAGACTTGACAAGTACTGGAGCAGGTTCAGATACATTCAGGAGCCAGTGCATGCCCAGTACTTGCCAACAGTGGGTACTAGAGACGTACCGATCGCCCAAGCGATCGGCTCGATCAGTGGTGAAGAGGATTAAAGTAAAGTAAAAAAGTAAAAGTAACAAATATTCGGAACATAAATGACAAAAGTATACGTATTTGCCATAAAACGTAAAATATTCCAGATGTATTACAAGTTTACATAAGGATAGCCAGCCGTAAGAGTATTATTGTGTCCAACATGTGTGTCCACGGTCAGATTCCAAGACAAAACAAGATATCGAATTTTAAAACGGCAAGTGATGAACTATTCACCTGCCATATGTTACACGCAGACTGGTCAAAGTTTTGGAAATTGATCAGCACAACTGCAACAAATTCAAGGACATGACAATATACAGGGAGTAATTAATTCACCACTAGGTGTAGCGACAGCTGAGCGATGCGTCCTAACCAACGTTTCGCAACAGCTCTCCCACCAGACGACTCTAACAGAAGTGTGTGTGTGTGTTGTCGCAACTCGTCAGCCCAGTAACACTACCCCAACGTTCACCAGATGCTCACCAAACCCTCCTCTTTGCTAATTCACTGCCCAGCCTTCTCCCTGACTCACTCACCCACACTACTGTATCCTCTTGTCTCTCCGGGAAACTTGGGACTTTTAAACAGTGGCAATGCATAGCCTGGGAGTATTTATATTGTAAGTGTGTGATTGTAGCCGTACGCTAGGTGGCTGTAGTGGTGTGGGTGTATTTTACATGTGTACTGGCATGTTTGGGTGTATGGTAGGTAAGTATACTGGTGTGTATGTGTGTAGGGGTAAGTGTACTGGTGTGTATGTGTGTAGGTAAGTGTACTGGTGGGGGTATAGGTAAGTGTACTGTTGTGGCTGCGAGTGTATTATGAAAGGTATAGAATCCACTGTAGGTATAAACAGGCTAATCTACCCAACCCTAAATACCAGAGTCGCACAGCTGTAGCTAAGGGACGAGGAGAGAGAGAGAGAGAGAGAGGTAAACAACTCCATGTCCATCCACTCGTGTCAATTATTCTCCAGCTTTAAGTTCTTCACACGTAACGAGAACCTCCTTGCCAGAGTCGCCTAACACACCCGGTAATATTGTCATTTTCCAGTTCCTCGAATAACTGCTGCAAGGTCGAGTATGGGCAGGAGGAGATGAAGGAGGTGGAAGGGGCAGGAGAGGTGAGATGGAGGAGGAAATGGGGAAGGTGAGGGGTCGGACAGGAGTGTAGGGGGGAAAAAGAGGAGGAAAATTTTTAGAATTTGCCCGCGAGGAGGAGGAGGGGATGGGCAGGAAAGGTCAAGGTATAAAATTTCGATGTAATTACGAATCCTACCTTTTTAACGTTATTTTTGTGATATATTTCATGTCGACTTGGCAAATTCTTTCATAGATCTTCACTCACGAAGAATATTCCTGAGAAAACCCTTCGAGTATTGTGGACCAATTTTCACCCGCCATTAGTGACGACACCATGCGCAGTTAAATACAAAGAAGTTGTCTGCGCATCACTTGTTTGTTTACATTCCTCAGCTGATGACCCAATATATTACGCGCCTAGAATTTTGTTAACACCCATGACGTCAAAAGAGGAAAACTAAGCCAGCAGGATTTGTGGCGGCCATTTACTGTAGATATGGTGAAAATGGGCAAAAGCTACAAACATAGATTACAGTTTTGTATTTACGACTAGGAAACCCCTGTATCTGGCCCTTCAAAGGCTTAACTTCTAAATAATAAAAAATAATAAACAACCGAAACGATATATTAATCAATATATTAACAATAAAAACACACAAATAAAATTAACGAAAAACAAAATAAAAAAAAGAAGATATACAAAATGATTAAAGATAAGAATCAAATGGTAAAAAATTTCCGAGTGTCTCCCCATTATCATAGTTAACACAGCTTAAGGAATGCTGTTTTTACTCTGTGACCTGAAGGTTACAGACAGGTTAAGGACCACTTACTACTTCACGTGGATAGTTCATTGTGATTACTGTACATGTACTGTATATTGTATTAACGAATCAGCCCAGTACTTGTCCACCCTCTTACCAAGTCGTGGCCCAAACTGAGCAGGGCGCAGTACTACCTGTATATGTCAGTTTGTGGTAATATGAGTGACCCAGTTACATGATCTATATCCAACAACGGTTCTTAAACTTTTGGGTCTTACGTAAAAAAAAAAAAAAATAAATAATAATAATAATAATAATAATAATATGGTCCCACCGCTAAAAATAAAAATAAAAATAAAAATTCCATTAACTTTATATTCACAGTTACATGCATTTTGATATATTAATCATTCATGAATTTAATTAAAAACTGCATTTATTTTGTTGAGGATAAGTTTGACTGACTTTTACGAAAATTTTAATACTTTATTTTCGAAACTTCTGGTCTCACCTAAACGACCTTTCCGTCTCACTGTTTGGAAACCATTGATTCTACAACAGCAGTCAACTTTAGAACGACATAACTTGCACTTGTTGTACGTTAGTCTGGTTACTATCCTCTTATCCAATCTTGGTGTACAGTACAGTATGTCTGGTCAACATCCACTCATCCCATCTTGAGATAAATATAAACACTCTTACAACCATTGGCATTTTGACCTTAAAACAGAATTACCAAATACAATCTGGTTTTGAATCCGTATGTAATAATAATACTTGTGTAAATTTGGTCAATATCTCGTCATTCCGTTACGAAATACCAGAAACGGGGGCTGGTTTATTGGGCACTCTCTTGCATCCTGTGACGTGAACGAACATTTAGTACCAGTGACCTCATGATGTTCACCTTTGACTCATGACCTATTGAGTTAGTCAAGCTTAGAGGTTTGAGACGGTCGAGGGAGAGGGCGAGGATTACGATTCTCTGGAATATCGCAGGTTTGGTCATTATGTACACAAAATCGGGATTCACACACAGACGAGAGCTAGCCAGTTTGCCCTAGCTGCGTGTGTGTGTGTGTGTGCAACAATTGTTATTTAAATTGATTCTCTCTCACACTGCTTTCCATCATCACACACGGGTTAGAACATAAACAAGAATAATTCCCGTGACACCCCACCACCCTCCTTGCCTCTCACTAGTCCTTGAGTGACCTCCTCCCCTGACATAATGAGGGCAGACTGAGGCAGGACAGGCACCAAGTGGGTCATGGGACCATAATACCACCACTGTCCACTAACCCCCCCACACACACACATACACGCACTCAACATCAATAATTCAACACCGAAATCTAAGGTCACGGACCAGGGTAAATGTATCATCAGTTGTTGTTTTTAACTGCTGTCTGGACGTTTTTAATGAAATACTGACTGACTGACAAAGAATTTTTCCTTTCTTTCTCTCTAAAGTTGGGAATATAGCACAGACTCAGCCCATGGTTAAGTATCCAAGTTAAATAGTGTTTGTCTATATGAAATAAAACATTGTATAGCAAAGCTATAAATGCTCTCACACGCTCTTCATGTTTGAAGTATATTTCGGTCCGTGTGAGGGACTTAGTCAGATACATTGCATGGCCAGCCTCGCACTAACGCTACTACGACCCATTCCTGATCAGTCGTATGTACAGTCGCCTGCACTTATACAGTACCTAAAAAAAGTGACTGGTGCATTTTGTGAGATGTGGCAGCCATGTGTTTGTTTACCTAGCATCCTTACTCTGGCTACTATTCCGAGGTTCCTTACGGCCATGCCGGGAGTTTTAATACGATGTAAACAAACATAGAGGTGTCACATCTCACAAAACGCACCAACCTCTGTACCAGGTATAAGTGCAAGCGACTGTACTTTTATCTTACTTCATTTTACTGTTACTTGTTAAAAATAAACCTTAGTAGAATAACATGAAACATTCTCATCGTCCTCTACATTATTTATGACATTTAGTTTTTTGTTTTGCCTAAAATGAATAAGATCAAAATTGGATAAATGTGATAAACAATAGTTATGTTTATCCCTCAGCGTGAAGACCTGCCACGTGAGTTGTGTGGATAGCTGGATACCTATTGTTCATTTTATATATTTCAATGTATGAACTTCTACTACTGATACATTATAATATCTTGACCTACAGAAACTCAGATATTTGGAGCTTTAATGAGGAGGAGGAATACCATAGCAAACGAGTTATTGCAGCAAAAACAAGAAGTAAATGACTGAGAATGAAGAGCAAATGAGTGAATGACAATGTAAAAGAGAATGAGTAAAAGACAGTGAATGAATTGAGTTTGTACCTGCTCTTGTAACCGGCAACCCAGCAATATAGAAACAAGACTAAACAAATAAAAAGGCTGAAAGATAACTCAAGACTCAAATATACACAGAACACACACACACCTCGTGAGTGGGTGGGGGGGGGGTGATGAGGCAGTCACACAGAGACACTCTTTCATGGGGTAAAGTGGTGCCTTGGCTGTTACTACCCACTGCTCTCCAAGGCCCTGCCCTACTTGTTGCCCTACCACTACTACCACCATCAACCATAAATACCACTATTACCACCATAAATACCACTACTACCACCATCAACCATAAATACCACTACTACTACCATCAACCATAAATACCACTACTACTACCATCAACCACCACCACTACCATCAACCATAAATACCACTACTACCACCATAAATACCACTACTACCACCATCAACCATAAATACCACTACTACTACCATCAACCATAAATACCACTACTACTACCATCAACCACCACCACTACCATCAACCATAAATACCACTACTAAATACCACTACTACCACCATCAACCACCATCACTACCACCATCAACCACCATCACTACCAACATCAACCATGACTACCACTACTACCACCATCAACCACCACCACTACCAACATCAACCATAACTACCACTACTACCACCATCAACCACCACCACTACCAACATCAACCATAACTACCACTACTACCACCATCAACCACCACCACTACCAACATCAACCATAACTACCACTACTACCACATCAACCATAAATACCACTACTACTACCATCAACCACCACCACTACCATCAACCATAAATACCACTACTACCACCATAAATACCACTACTACCACCATCAACCATAAATACCACTATTACCACCATCAACCATAAATACCACTACTACCACCATCAACCATAAATACCACTACTGCCATCAACCACCACCACTACCACCAACCATAAATACCACTACTACCACCATCAACCACCATCACTATCAACCACCATCACTACCAACATCAACCATGACTACCACTACTACCACCATCAACCACCACCACTACCAACATCAACCATAACTACCACTACTACCACCATCAACCACCACCACTATCAACATCAACCATAACTACCACTACTACCACCATCAACCACCACCACTACCAACATCAACCATAACTACCACTACTACCACCATCAACCATCACCACTACCAACATCAACCTTTTCTTACCACCACCAACCATCACCACCACTACTGTACCAACATCAACCATTTCTTACTACCACTATCAACCACTACCACTACCACTCTCCCCACCATCACCACCACTCACCATCATCAATTCCTCCTCACCACTACCATCACCACTCTTCCCACAATCCTTTCTTTCTCCCCCCCATCACCACTACTCTCTCCACCACCCCTTCTACTATGGTGACGACAGATGTTGGGTCTAGTAGTGGCGTCCTTGACCTAGTAATGACAATGCTAGACACTTACTCTTGACACTCGACAGTTTTAAAGACGTCATCACACGAGAGTAAAGCGTAAGAGAGCCAGCGAGGTCAAAACATTGTGTTGAAATAGCTTGTACTGCGCGCGCGCGCGCGCGTGTGTGTGTGTGTGTGTGTGTGTGTGTGTGTGTGTGTGTGTGTGTGTGTGTGTGTAATCAAATATACAGCATATTTCAGTGAGCTGGTACATAGGCTAGGTGGTAGTGGACAAGTGCATGGCCTTGGTGGCACACCTGCCTGTCCCAATACTTGTGCTGAATTAATTACACAAATGCATGGAAGAAAAACTATCTTTTTTCTTACATGGGAGGAAAATCTAATGTTTCTTGAGTATACCTTCCCCCCTCATGCCCCCCCCCTCCTCCCAGGCACCCTCTATTAAAGAGGTTACTTACGTGAAGGAGACAAGGCCCCGGGGTCGTGTTCTGGTACAGTGGAAGATAAGCAGTGAGTCATGCCGGGGCGAGGAGCGTGGCTTCCCTCCTTACATGGTACACAAGTGGACCGTCCAGCCTGGTCCATGTACGTCCCAGCCAGACACGGTACACACGATCCATCTCGACTGTACGTCCCTGCTACGCACAAGCCTGGAATATACACGAGGAATATACTATTATTCTAGATGGGAATTATTGAGTGATGTAGAGTTTGTTGTGACGGACAGAGGTTGTGGGGTCACCTAGAACCTTGGTTACGGTCTGCGGGGTCACCTAGAACCTTGATTACGGTTAGTGGGGTCACCTAGAACCTTGATTACGGTTAGTGGGGTCACCTAGAACCTTGATTACTGCCTGCGGGGTCACCTAGGACCTTGATTACGGTTAGTGGGGTCACCTAGAACCTTGATTACGGTTAGTGGGGTCACCTAGAACCTTGATTACTGCCTGCGGGGTCACCTAGGACCTTGATTACGGTTAGTGGGGTCACCTAGAACCTTGATTACGGCCTGCAGGGGTGTCACCTAGAACCTTGATTACGGGGTGGGGTCACCTAGAACCTTGATTACGGTTAGTGGGGGTCACCTAGAACCTTGATTACGGTTGGTGGGTCACCTAGAACCTTGATTACGGTTAGTGGGGTCACCAGAACCTTGATTACGGTTGTGGGGTCACCTAGAACCTTGATTACGGTTAGTGGGGTCACCTAGAACCTTGATTGCGGTTACACCTAGAACCTTGATTACTGCCTGCGGGGTCACCTAGGAACCTTGATTACGGCACGGTTGATTAAGGGTCACCTAGAACCTGATTACGGTTAGTGGGGTACGAACCTTGATTACGGCCTGCGGGTCACCTAGGACCTTGATTACGGTTAGTGGAGTCACCTAGAACCTTGATTACGGCCTGCGCGGGTCACTCAGAACCTTGATTACGGTTAGTGGGGTCACTCCAGAACCTTGATTACGGCCAGTGGGGTCACCTAGAACCTGATTACGGCCTGCGGGTCACCTAGGACCTTGATTACGGTTAGTGGGTCACCGAACCTTGATTACGGTTAGTGGGGTCACCTAGAACCTTGATTACGGCCTGCGGGGTCACCTAGGACCTTGATTACGGTTAGTGGAGTCACCTAGAACCTTGATTACGGCCTGCGGGGTCACCTAGAACCTTGATTACGGCCAGTGGGGTCACCTAGAACCTTGATTACGGCCAGTGGGGTCACCTAGAACCTTGATTACGGCCAGTGGGGTCACCTAGAACCTTGAAAACAGCCAGTGCGGTAAGCCAGGACTTTGACATAGTTTAAGCAAGCTCTAGAACTTCAACATGTCTTCAGCAAGTGAGGACTCTGGAGAGACAGCATGACGCTAGTGTGTGTATTAAGCGCTGCGGTAATGTCTTCCTAGAAAAGTTGTTGGTGTTATCGCGGCGGATGTCGCTGAGGGTTTGTTGTATTTTTATCCGTGAGCTGGTGGTGGTGTGGTGTGGTGGAAATGGGTATGTGGTGGAGTGGAGGAGGGGTGTGGTGGAGGAGGGGTGTGGTGGAGGTGGGTAAGTGGTGGAGGAAGACTGTACCGTGTAGACTGTAGACCAACCCGCCTCCTTGAAGCAACTGAGACGAAATATGATAGGAGACGCAATTATTCGCAAAAAGACGCAACGAAAACTAAGACACAATTAAAGCTAAAAAAAATAAAAGTTCTGAAAGATTTAAAGATAGTTTAAAGTGAAAAAGATATGATAAAGATGGAATTAGAAACAAAAGATTAAACATACACTATAATGAAAAGCGATAAATATAATTAAAAACAAAAACAACTTACTCGTACAAATAATTTATTCTCCGTCAGTGTGCTATAAGTAACATTCTCTGTCAGTGTGCTACAAGTAACATTCTCCGTCAGTGTGCTATAAGTAACATTCTCCGTCAGTGTGCTAGCAAGTAACATTCTCCGTCAGTGTGCTAGTAAGTAACATTCTCCGTCAGTATGCTAGTAAGTAACATTCTCCGCCAGTGTGCTAGTAAGTAACATTCTCCGTCAGTGTGCTATAAGTAACATTCTCCGTCAGTGTGCTATAAGTAACATTCTCCGTCAGTGTGCTATAAGTAACATTCTCCGTCAGTGTGCTAGCAAGTAACATTCTCCGTCAGTGTGCTATAAGTAACATTCTCCGTCAGTGTGCTATAAGTAACATTCTCCGTCAGTGTGCTATAAGTAACATTCTCCGTCAGTGTGCGATAAGTAACATTCTCCGTCAGTGTGCTATAAGTAACATTCTCCGTCAGTGTGCTATAAGTAACATTCTCCGCCAGTGAGTGTGCTAGTAAGCAGCATTCTCTGTCAGTGTGCTATTAACACATCTCCGACAGTGAGTGTGCTAGTAAGTAACGTTCTCCGACAGTGAGTGTGCTAGTAAGTAACATTCTCTGTCAGTGTGCTATTAACACATCTCCGACAGTGAGTGTGCTAGTAAGTAACATTCTCCGACAGTGAGTGTGCTAGTAAGTAACATTCTCTGTCAGTGTGCTATTAATACATCTCCGACAGTCAGTGTGCTAGTAAGTAACGTTCTCCGACAGTGAGTGTGCTAGTAAGTAACATTCTCTGTCAGTGTTCTATTAACACATCTCCGCCAGTGAGTGTGCTAGTAAGTAACATTCTCTGTCAGTGTGCTATTAACACATCTCCGACAGTGAGTGTGCTAGTAAGTAACATTCTCCGACAGTGAGTGTGCTAGTAAGTAACATTCTCTGTCAGTGTGCTATTAACACATCTCCGACAGTCAGTGTGCTAGTAAGTAACATTCTCCGTCAGTGAGTGTGCTAGTTAGTAACATTCTCCGTCAATAAGCTAGTAACATTCTCTACAGACAACAAAACCACGAGTACTGCTGATCCCAATATGCCATCATCGTGTCCCGAAGGCTGACGATCAAGGCTCCAAACGTTTTCTTGTTGTCTGCCATTCCTTCCAGCTTTGTTAACTCTCCGGGGAGCCAACTTTCAATTTCAATCTTCCATCCCAGCGTCTGTCTTTTCCTATCCTTCTTTCTTCGTATACTTACAACTTCTCTCATTAAAAATTCAAATTAGATACTGTAATATTTCCAATTCCCTCTCTAACTCTAAATCAGCACCTAAGTTGATTATTGACCAACACTGCAGCTTCACATACACAAACAATCCTTCCATATGAAGCTCCTAGTAAGTTCATTGTTTACAAACACTGCAGGTTCACAAAACAAAACAATCCCTCACGGTGACGCTCAGGAAATTCCTCGTTTATTAAGAAGATAACCTTACACTGTATAAGGTAACTTTATCGAGGGGGTGATGAGTGAACCCTAACTGCCTATTAAATGACCAATTACATCCAATTTGAGAGATCGTGTGTGGGGGAGGGGAGGAGGGGGGTGTACACCGTCTTCAACTCCTAATACGCACATGTGGTTAGCTGTGGTCTGTCAGTTCACTCTCTCATTCGTCTCTGTTGTTATATATATATTTTAGCTCTTTAACTTTCTCTGTTTGCATGTTTTTGTCCGTGGACGGGAATATTTGTTTCTTCGTTTGTCATGTCTATTTGTCTATCTGTGTCTTTGCTCTCTCTCTTACGTACAGGTGTTACATCATCAACAGGCTAGTCAATGTTGACGTTCTTGTAAAGATGTGGTGGTTCGTGACACTACAACCGGATTTGAGTCCCGGATTCTCAAAGGTTAGTTCGGTGTATTCATCTCTTAAGGCGAGAAAAAACACACACACATAACTGGCTTAATTTAACATAAAGCACAAACAGAACATCGAATACGACATTAAAATTACAGTGAGAATATACCGTACTGTATATCAACTAAACACTTACTGTTACCAACGCACAACCCCGTCAAAGCTTCTCATGGGAGTCAGGGGTTGCGCATGCATGGATGACGTCACGATCATTCACAGAGTCGCAGGTTTGTTTATGATGCTGTCACATCAAACCTGAACCGACAGCAGCCCACAACTGAGTCTGCCATCCCATAATTTATTCTTTTCTAAGCGCTATAATAATATAGAGATGAGCATAGGGGGAGGAAGAGGAGTGAAGGGGGTAGGGGGGAGGAAGGGGGTATGGGGGAGGAAGGGTGAGGGGGGGGGTGAAGAGTGAAGGATGGTAGGGAAGGAGAAGAGGGGAAGGGGTGATAGGGGTAGGGCAGGGAGGGGAAAGACTGATGAGGGTAGGGAGGGGTATGAGTGCAAGGGGTACGGGAAGGCCCAAACCTTCTTTCTTCTTGCGGCAACATTGCTTACACACATCCTAAAATCCTTCTAAAAAGTATTATTCTCCTCCTCCTCCTTCCGTTATCCTCTGCCTCTCTCCCGTCCTCCCTTCCACTGCGTCGCCACACACACACACACACACACACACACACACACACACACACACCTCAGTAGTAAATCTTCATCATTATCACCAATAATGGTATTTTTTATCATATTCATATTATTAACATTATTGCTATCATTAGCAATGGCATCAGTATGGCTATTACTGCATTTATATTTTCATCTTTAGTATCATTACTCTCATTACTACTATCACTATCGTCACACACATACAAGAGGAGACTTACTACAGCGGTTGGTGTTTGGGTTAAGGCCGTGACCTAGTTGTCGACACAACAGGTCAAGCTGGGTCAGGTTGAAGGACGACAGATCAAGGGTGGCTCCCAGGGCCTCCAGAGACCTCGTGAAGGACGGCGATCTCAACACCTCCTGCGTCGACTCCTGCAGATCAAGTGGAGGTAACTGATGGTTATGGGACCTTCAAAGTGGAGGAGGAGAAAGAGCAAGAAGAATAACAAGGAGGAGGTGGATAACCATAACCATGTCTTATCCTGTTGCCATTTTACGATTTAGATACACACACACACACAGATACTCACTAGAACAGCCGCTATCGCCGTCTCCACCTCAGGCACGTGGTGGTCGTCATAGTAATAGTCGCCAACAGCCTCATACAAGCCGCCCACCGCCCACACTACGCTCACGCTGCCTCCACCCGCTGACCTGTTTGAGGGGAGAGAAACAAGTCATCAGTCCTGCTGGAAACTAGGCCTCATTTTCTATCATTCTCAGGCCGCTGTACTACACCGCCCCTACTCACGTGTGGGTGCAAGTGGCGTGTGGATGGTGGCAAGTAAGACCATTGCAGGTTACCTGGCCAAGCAACGCCTCTTGTACCACTTGCTCCACCTCCACCGTGGCACCACAGTCCTCCATAAGTACCTTCATTGTCAACATGGCCTCCATCATCGCGGCTTGACTCTCTTCTTCATTGTCCTCCTCCAACACTCCAGCGTTGCTATCTTCTTCCATAGTTTCCCTCTTCCTGCTGTTTTCTTCTATCTCAACCATTCTCTTGTAGTTTTCTTCCCGCACAACTGATGGGAATGTACTTGGCTGGAGCTCTATTACACCAGAGTCTCCCGGGTTTATCTGCTTTGTCTCGTCAAGTTTAATCACAGACTCTGTTAACGCCTGGTTATCTTTCACCTCTTCTTTCGCCTTTGTTATATCACCAGGTTCTTTGACACTCGACTCGAGTTTCTTCTCGTCTTCCTTGCCGATTTCGTCACCATCAACAGCAACTTCCGGACTGGTGTTAGTGCTGACAGCCTCGCCGACACTGTATATTTTCCTGGTTTCAGTTTCATTATGCACATCATTTACCGTTTGTTTTCTTACTTCTTTCTCCTGTTGCTCTTTAGTCCTGCCTCTTGAATGACCTTTTTTACTGTGGACTCCGATGTCTCCGTCAGGATGTTCTCGGAATAGAGGAAATAAATCAGACATGTCTTCTTCCATCACTTTGGGCATGGAATCTACCAGGGTAAAATGGCTATCAGATTCAATTTCGATTCGATTTGTGTTTACCTGACTATTTATTTTTAGTGAGTGTGAACGAGTGTCCTCTCCATTATCGTCTGTGAAATTTCTATCGTCCGTATTTCTAACCTTTTCAACGGTGTCAGCTCTGTTATTATGAATCGCATTCCCAAATACGTCTGCTAGTGGTGATATCGTTAACTTGTTTACATCCACTCGTAACTCTGGCATCCTTACACTGCTATTATCATACTTGATTGAATAATCATTGTAATCATCGTCACTTGCGTCGTAATAATAATCAAACTCCTTATTAACATATTCAACATCACTATCCCCTCTTTCATTATAAATCCTGGATTGATCTTCCTTGCCATTGTTACCGTCTATTGTACCTTCGTTGTCGCCAAAATCTTGATGTATCTCCTGTACGATAGACTTCTCATCCATATTGAGTGTGAGAGCACCGTCAACATCATTCTCAGTGTGCAAACCTCGTCCTTCATCTTCTCTCGAGTGTGATGGGTGATGTTGCTTGCCAAATGTACTAGGTAAAATGTCAGCATCAGGATCCAAGTTTCCACCTGACAAGAATTCGAAAAAGAAACAAATAAATATTGATCAAAAAACAAGCAAATATGAGAAGAAAACAAAGAGAAGCGAGATAAACATGAGACTTAGGGTAAATAAAGAAAATTGGAAAATAAGTGCGGTATAAAATTAATATCACATATCAAATACATATGAACACAAACGAATCTCGATGTAACTTTAATGTTGTTTTGGATGTTACTGTTGTACTTAGCTTTAGTCAAACAGTTCAGAACATTCCTAGAAATCCATTTACGAGGCAGATTCAACACGCCTTACTGTTTACTAATTTGTTTATACCCGCACTGTATACGTGTACGTTTTTTTGTATACCTACATTGTATGTATATTGTGTACCTGTATTTTGAGCATGCATTGTCTATACTCATGCTCAATCAATGTAAACTTGTATGACGATTTTACTGAATAAAGCTGAACTGAAGTGAACTCAGAGACCCCAAGCCAAGCCCCAGACTATCACTCCCAGCTGTATCTTAGATCTTACTACAACTGTCTATCAAAATTAAGGTCCACTTTAGCATCTGATTAGATAACTATTCACACACACACACACACACTTATTTTGTTCCGGTGATTTAGCTGTGACTCATATCCGGTGTCCGTCGACCACAAACAAGTCACACACCCCCGTCAACAAGTCCAGGGGTACTTGTTGACGTGCTGTCAACCAGCATCTCCTACCCTCGTCAACCAACACTTCTATCATGATAACCCACAGCAGTAATCACAACCCGTCAAGCGCCTCCCCTACACTCACCAGAGTACTGTAGTTGGATCAGGGTACGAGTGCTGTCTACGGTATTCGGCAGTCGAGTCCCTTGTTCACTCATTGACCATCAGGAAAAAAACAAAAAAACTTCCCACATAAAAATAGTAACTCGTCTCTCTTTTATTATTAAGATATTTAATACTCCATTGGTTAAGTAAAATGGTTAATTTGGTAATAAATGCCAAAGTAAGTGCAAACCCCAAGATTTTTTAAAAATAAATGAAGCTTAAATTAAGATATGGCAAAGTAGGGGCCAATGCTGTGTACACATACACGATGTCCCTTGCAAAATTTCCGCTCTATAGTCTTCGTGTTCGTCACACCCTGAATCATCCTTCTCACGTTCCCTTGTACGAATCGCTCGTAAAATAGTGACACTAAAGAAATGTTTACCTATTACATATAAAACTTATGACCAAATATCGATTTCTTTCATTAAAAATGCTGTGATTTTATTGACCTGGAACACTGTACAGTTGCGGGCTGTTAGTACAGTACAGTGTACAAAATCAACATTTTCTTGCTGTACTCGTGAATGTTTACGTAAGGTAGGATCAGCTGAGCTAAAAGTAACTCCCTCAGCTGGGTGATAAAGATCTGTGTTTCCTGTTGACTTCTTTATCACTGCTTACTGGTCTCTCGTGTGTGTGTGTGTGTGTGTGTGTGTGAGAGTTGTAATAAGAACTACATAATTGATAATAGCTATGGGCGTATTTATATTAAGAGGTAACTTGGTGGGGCTCACCGTTGACAATGATCCTGTACTTGCAGATGGTTGATGTCTCCAGCTCGGGGTCCCTGGCCGTGCAGGTCCTGGTGTAGAGGCCGTGTGATGTGCCCTCCAGGAGGCAGGTGACGTGGGCGGGGACGCCGCTGGCAGTGGTGAAAGTAGGCAGCGGCAGGAAGGAGAGGGGCGAGTGAGGGAAGGTGAGAGAGTGGTCCTCACACTCCCCGGCCTTAAGTACTGGAGTAACCTATGGAGGACATGTCGTATAGTTTAATGTCTGCCTCATCATTATGGACAGTAAAGTAGTTACAGCTTGGCCACATCTGGTAAGCAAATCTCTAATTCCTTGTGAGGTAACTGCAATGCCAACTTTCTGTTATCTATAAATATTATACTTTCTAGTTTTACAAGACAACCCAATTATTTATATCTTCTTGTAACCATGAAGCAAATTCTCTGAAATATTACAAAAGAAAAAGTCGACAGGTAGAGAACTTTCTGAAGACCGTTATATATATTAGATCACATTACCCAGAGTGAGTGACAGTATATGCTGGCGCAGATCAACAATGGTTGAAGTTTATAATTTTCCTAACTCAACGACAAAAGTCAGTTTTAACTATATGATTTATGAGATTTATGACATTTGCAAATAGTCAAGCCTCGACACCAGTACCTACCTGCCGGCGACACGGGGGTGGGCGGTGGTCCCAATGGCCACCTGGAGCGCAGGTAAGCTTACTTCGTCCGCGGTGCGACACGCCCACCACTCGCCCAGGATCACAGTGCAGCGTGCACACAATACCTTCCAGGTGGCTGACAAGAGCCACGTGTGTGGTGTCCCTGGTAATGGCGGGGGCATCCTTAGGGATGGAAATTCTTCTGGAAGATCCCGTGGAGGTCTCACAAACATAGTGACCTCTCGGGACCTCTGGTGGGGGGTTACAGCCCCTCCTGCCAGATGGAGCAGGTGAAGTCGGCTCTGTAGGGTCGAAGAACAGAAAACAAGCATGTGTAACGTTTCTTTTGGATAATTCTGTACTTCCTCCTTGTGATGATTTATGACAGTGAAGGGATTACGGGGTGCTTCAAATTATCCTGTGTATGCTTCTGTAATTATATATAAAGTGCTCATAAACAGGCTAATTACATATTCGATTACGGAAGAAGAAATTACAGAATCAAGATCTGAAATTTTCTCGAGACGTTTTTACTACCTAAACATTTTATTCTTATAACATTAATATTACTAGTGTGTGTACCTGTCACACGTCTCCCACACTGATCCTCTACACAACATTCAACAATTTTCTCTTCACCTCATCCATATCCAATACTTCCCTCATCACTTTTCTATCTATCATATGTTGTTTTTCTAGACTTTTAAAAGTTAAAAAATTTCCCCATCGCCAAAATCATTTCACTCATACTCTTTAAAAGAAGCACTTGACCCACACATTTTAATACACTGTTTTTCATACGGTTATCATACCTCTATAAACACATTTTCCCTGGTATAATTAACTCACTTATTTCCCTATAATTTTTGTACTTCCTTGCATCAACTTTCTCTTTATACAAGGTATCTGCTATTCCTCTTGCACCTTTCCTTTTATCACGCAGCCTGTACAACTTTCCACCACCCATATTCAACATTATAATGCTATTCTTTTCATTCTTGAGCTTGCCTACAAACACACGATGTTTATTATTATTATTATTATTATTATTATTATTATTATTATTATTATTATTATTATTATTATTATTATTATTATAGCCAAACTAAGGGCTCCAGCCTGGAAAAGAAAAGTAAGTTTCACCTGTACAAGCGGGGGGCGGGTGTGACCAATGAGGGTGTCGGTGGCCGGTGCAGGTGGTGGAGGAGGAGCCTTGGAGGGTGAGTCCATTTATACATCTCCAGGAGCAGCGGGAACCCCAGGCGCGTCCCGCAGTGCAGAACACCTCCAACCCTCCACCTCTCGGCAACTCACCACACTTGCGTACTGCCAAGAGATAGTGTGGTATGAACTCTTCCTCTCGTTAGTTTACTTATTCTATAATTCCTTACACACACACACACAAACACTGATGATCTTTATTGGTTATAGTTATGAGGACAAATTATCGCTGAATATATTTGAGAATGTGAACCCAGTACAGTAGTTTATCAAATCTCCTTTGTCTACATTACCTTGTACGTTGTAATTAAACCTACAGGAGGTGATGGGTATGGAGGAGAGAGCGTCGCCAGCCACCACTGTGATAACCATGGCGTAGCGGCCCTCCTGTAGGCGTGTACCAGGCGTGGGGCCCTCAGTCACCACGGTCCTCACCTCCCCCCACCTGCCACACCAACCACAAACTCAGCACAACACACACTAAAGTATTCGTCCAAAATTGCATCAATTCTACACCAAGACCTTCCCTGAACCGAAATAATTCACTTAGCACCAATTAGGAGAGAATGTTTACATAAATAGCCTTTGGAAAGAATTGTCTACAGTAATTTTATCCCAAAACTTTTGTCAGTATTATATAAAGTTAAGGAGAGTTAGAGTGCAGGAGAGAGAGTGCTACTACAGTGTGACCTGTACCCACTTTAGGCTTGTCTAGTGTATCGTGGCTTTGACGGGTTAATCCAAAGAGTCAACCTTATATCAGAAAGGTAACAAGGTTGAGAGTGAATAGATATTTCTCCCGATATGGTCTAGGTATTGTGTGTGCCAGATGGAGTCGCGTTTATACTTCAAAACACAACAACTCCCACCACTTCCCAGGTCCATGTAAGAGTTAATGTCAATATACTGTATTAGCTCTTTTTTTCTCTTTTTTTTTACAGGGTTGAAGACACGTGTTGGCGGCGGGCGACTGGTCTACACAGGCGCCGACTTTTTTTTTTTTTATTGGGCACTCCCCTACATCCTTGTGTAAGGTGAAGCGCAGAAGCGTTTACAGCGCCCAACAGGGAAGCATGCTCAGTTCATGCTTGCCTTTATGTTTCATGAGTTAAGGGCGTAGAAGCCTGAAGAGTCAAGAGCGCAGAAGCCTGAAGAGTCAGTGGTTTATGTCATCAAGTTATTGGAAGCTCTAACAACTTTCCCTGATTACGATTTTTTTTTTGTCACTCTGACGTCCGCGACTTGGCTACAAGGGTCACCAAAGGTTATCGTGTCCCGGATGCTCATTGGTTCGTACTATAGAAATTCTCTCTAACTGGTATTATGAAATGATACTTAGTTGGCTCCTTTGAGGTGAGACACAACAAAATGGGTAAAACTGCGGTGTTATCATCTTTTTTCTTCTTTTTTTTTACGGGATTAGCCCACCAGGGCACAGGTCAATTAATAATAATAATAATAATAATAATAATAATAATAATAATAATAATAATAATAATAATAATAATAATAATAATAATAATAATAATAAAAGACCATAAAAAAAGAAAAAAAATATTAATAGTGAGAAACGATATATGTACAGGTATGTTGTGTTGTCAAAGTTAGAGAAACAATTGAAACCCTGCAATTGTGTGTAAATGAGGCAGAAAGTCAGATTAGTAACCTGGAACTTGGTCACAATTTTTGTGATGCCATATAGCAGCAGGGTCTACCATTAGACAATACATTATGCTTCCAGTATCTTCCCAGACAGTAATACCTCCCTGTTTGATAGCTGCCTTCTACCTACAACATTATGAGTGTAAAGTAACATGTACTGCACGTTCTCTCAGCCTCACTCACAAAGAAAAGTTAACCTATGAATCATTGTGAATCCAGACCTACAAAATGCATGTGAGGTTGGCAGTGTTAGAGTCTGTAATAACACCAGTAAACTCGAGATTATGTCACCCAGATTAATAACGCAACCATGCGAAAAATAAAAAAAAACACACAGGTAATGAGGTTCATACGTAAATCACTGTAAATGTTTGAGATACATTTCAGGATGGAGTGATTATATCATCAAAAGATAAAAGAAGAATAATATATTTTCTAACTAACGTTTCTTGTTGACATCAGAGCATTTTGGTAAGAATAAATTCCTAGTTTCATGGATGTCGTTAATCTCGTTATCCTTTTATCAGTGAAGGTAAGAGTGTTATCGTTTTTTTTAACGCAATCTCTCGAGGAGACTCACTGTGTATCTTACTAACTGTTGTAAGCTGTTTTTCCCTCTAGGAGGAAACACGAAAGTCTTTTAAAATGACACTAGCCTTAGACTTTTGACAAAACAACATTAAATAATTCATTAAAAAAATGGCGTGCGTACACTCAAGGTATACAGGACAGAGAACTGGGGACAAAATTGTACAGTTCAGCTCACCTGGGTGTACAGGACAGGGGGCTGGGGAAGTGGGCGTACACACAGTCCTTGCCTCTAGGCGCTTCCACATGGGCGTCCGGCGGACACTTGATGCACGCGATGTCACCTTCCTGGGGCCTTCCTAGGCCTTCTGCAAAGACTTAGGTATTAAAAAATTTGACAGTTTATTTTATATGTGAATTTTCAGGTGATTAGCTTGGCAAGAAGAGACGATGGGTTTATGACTGTAGGGATACTGGTCTCAAGCTCATAAAAAGATGTCTGGCTCTAAGAAAAAGTGACATTGAGTTACTTATACCCTTGTTGTACCGAATCAAGTGAGAATTATTTGGCTAAGTTATTTAGGTTTGGTTATGTTCATCACGGTCATATTAGGAGTGACATTACTGGAGATTACTCAGGGGTTGGGGAGATACACTGTACAGCATAACTCACCCAACCTAGCTGAATTTGTGTACACTGTTGAGGGGCCACGTAAGGGTTCACAGTTGGCATTTACACTGATTTTTATTTTGGCCACACACGATATAACATCTACACATGTAGCCTCCAAAGATAGTTTCGTGCCACCTCTGATTCCTCTGTACCCCTGAAATGATTCCTTAATGAGTCATGAAGATATCTGTTTTTCACTTACGGTTAACAGACGACAGTGGGTCTAGGTGATCCTCGACGCTGACCTGGACTGATTCTTGATGGTCTCCTGAGCTGTGGTGTTGTACATGGTTCAAGAGGGGCGTTGAGGGGCGTGAAAGTCCTGTGACTAATGCTGTGTTGCCGTGGATAGGGTGATTCGATGTGGGTGTTGGAACTCCAGGAAAAATCGGTGTGAAAAACTGGCTGTGAGGTTGTTGGGGAGTATTAGGTTTGAAGTTTGATCTACCATGCGAGGATGCTGTAGTTTTGATAATCGTATGGTGGAAGGGGTGCTCAAAAACTCCCTGGCCTCGGCTAACTGGGGTGGTGCAGTTCTTCCTATAACCTCTGTTGGGATTGTTGTCAGTACGGCTGGTTGGGGTCGTGTTGTTGGATGGTGCTAATGGTCGTGGGCCACTGAACACCTCGACGTCCCCGGGCATGTCCTCCGCCTGACTCCTGAAGATTTTGAACTGTTTCCTCCCAACTGTGTGCTTGTTGGAACGTTCGTGTTGTCTGATCTGACTTGGTGGTGACGAACTCTGCGGGACACGGTTGGAATGGTGATGTTGGAAGCGACTTAGATGTTGGGGATGATGCCTATGGTTGTGATGACGTTGTGGTTGATGTTGGTAGTGGTTGGGGCGTTCTTGAGGACGGTATTGGTGATGTTTGTGATGGTTCTGTTGATGATGTTGGGGACTCTGAAAACGGTGTTGGTAATTTTGCTGATAATGTATGGGAGAAATTCTTTCTCTCATCCTCATCATGTGGTCGTCGATCTGCGAGTGTAGTCGGTTCATCATAATGTTGTGTTGGTTTTGTAAGTGTTTAAGATGCAAGAAATGGGGAGCACTGTGGTGGTACTGGTACATGTCGGAGAACGGGATGTTGAAACTTCCATGATTACGTTTCATGTCGCCGAATAATGACAGGTAACTAGCATGTCGCTTTACTGATTTCGAATGTGTTTTGGAATTCGAACGCTTATGGTGGTGAGGTTTATTTCGCCTCTGGTGTTTGATGGCAACGGAGGATCGTTTATGGTGATGATAACGTGGTGGAGGCGGCGGAGATGTGATGGAGTGGTGGTTGTCACTGGCGGGACTCACCAGGTCTTCAAACAGTTTGCGGTTGGTCTCCCAATGACTGCTAGCCTGGGCCCCCCTGCAACCATAATGATAACGTTGCATATACACAATAATAGATATAGGATCACTGATACAGCTATAACACAAATCATACAATCCAACACTCAGATATGAAGGTTACATATAATAATATATAATTGCTGGATTTGTAAATGTTGTTTACATTCAGCAAGGCTATTTGCATCAATATAAAGCAGCCGCAAGACAATGATGGATCAATACTAGTTTGAAACAACAAACGGGGCCCCTACACAAGCTTTAAAACCAGATAATCAAGACATTTACAAGAAAATTGAGCGAGGCGTCTTACCTGGTCTGAGGGAGACTGTGGCCCTGTGATCCGTCTCTTGCAATCACGCTCGCTGCCGGGTAAAACAAAGTTAACATGCTGTAAGTGATGGAGACAACGGAACTAAAATAACATAAGAAATGAAAGACTTCTTCTATTTAGGTATACTGTACTGTGTGTAAATATGGATTTATTTAATAATTTTCCTAATGCACAACAAGTAGTAACCTCACAACCTCGGGGGAAGAGGTGACTACTGTTAATGTAGGTAAGGCGTCTACAACAGGTACACATTACACAGTATACAAAAATTAGAACATTCTTACTTAACACTCTGGAACTGAACATAACGTATGGACAGTTAAGGCTGAGTAAACGAATTAAACATTAAATAATCTCACTGCCCAGGACACTTATACCATAAACAAAACGAGAATCACTTGAAGAATCTCCACCCCAGCTTATTTCACCTAAAGGTTTACCGCTCTAACGCTCTCTTTATTATTATTACATTATTTTACTTGTCATTATATTTTTATCATATTCATTATTAATATCCCATTTATTATCATATTACTATTAACCAATATTTCGTTAGTGTATCATTACAACATCAACTGACAGTACTTATTTAGCAAGCCATCCAGATATTTTCAGAAAAAGTTGTCAGATGTGTGTGTGTGTGTGTGTGTGTGTTACACACCATTTATGTCACCTACTCCACCCCATCCATTCCCTTCACACCTTCGTGATTAAATCAACACGCGCCAACATACACCCTCGACCGATTGATTTTGATTTCGCCGCTTACAGCGGCTACTTTATTGTGCACCCCACACTCATCCTGTGAGCGGTAGCGCAAAAGGATTACAGAGTAGAGTCTACAACGGGTCATAATAATTAACCCCCGTGATCAGGATATTAAGGCAATGAATGTTACACAGTATTTCAATTACATTATTTGTTTACTTCTAAACATAAAGGGTAACTTATTCACAAATGCGTGAGTACAGGCGTGTGAGGCAGTATGTCTGGCCGCACACTTTGTTATTGACATTTGCGTGAGAAGTATTCAAGCACATTGTGTAGGAGCTGACAGTGGTAGCGCTGGTGAAGGAGCTCGCGTGTTGTCACTGTAGTTCGCCATGTTTGGGTATGGTTGACTCCCTAGGATAATAAAGTATTTTGGACTTACATATACCGTAACCATGACGTATTCAACCCCAAGGTCTATAGACCTTGTTCCACACCCACCCTAACGCTAAATCGTACACGGGGATTTTTATCGCATTTACGAATAAATTTTAGTCAACCAATGGAGAATATGTAGGTCTTCAGATTCACGAATACAGTACGTACTGCACTAAGAAAATCTAGGAATGCTGACTGTACGATAACATCTAGTGTCATCACCTCGCTGCCAGACAGTACAACGGCATCGAGAAAAAGCAAGTCCGTCTGTGTGGGTGTAACATTTAGTGAGTTCATGTAAGCTGTTAAGTTTAAGAGTATAAATCTGTGTCACTAGGCAACAGGTGGTGGGGGGATGTGCACCAGCTCTAGGTGTTGTCTCGCATGTCTAACACTGTGAGTTCGTGTTCTTTGATTGACGAGGACTATTGTGGGCCCGTACTCGTCTCTGTCTACACATATCACGTATGAAAGTTGATCAGTTAAGTAATGCTTAGAGTTAGTTTATAAACCAGAACACTGTGTTAACGATTAAGGTGTCAAGAACATTTTTACATCATTAACAAATGCCTTCATTATGCACTGGCTACCGGCGAAATTTTTGGGGTAGTAGGTAGTAGGCAGCTACCAAACAGGGAGGTACTACCGCCTGGGAAGATGTTGGAAGCATAATGTGTTGTCTAATGGTAGACCCTGCTGCTATATGGCATCAGGAAAATTGTAACTAAGTCCCAGGTTGCTAACCTGACCTTCTGCCTCATTTACACACAATTGCGTTTCTCACTATTTATTATTATTTTCATTTTTCTTTATAGTTCTTTATTATTATTATTATTATTATTATTATTATTATTATTATTATTATTATTATTACAGTGTTGTTGTTATTATTGTTATAATAATTATTTTATTTTACTTTTTTATTATAAATTTTATTTACTATGAATAATTATTACATTTTCGCCCCCCAGGCTCCGATATGGGTCAGTGACCTGTACCCAGGTGGGCTAATTAATCCCCGGAAAAAAAATGATCCACGGGTGGCGTCTGGGTTTACTCAAATTATTCCAGGTACAACACCAATTATCTATCTCTTAACACATGTACCTTCATTACTTCACTCAGGGTCGCGTATAGTTTGTCTTGTTGGTTTAATGAACGTTATGGAAGGAAGCCTGGCATAAACGTATATAAAGTCTCTGAATTATACATAAATTAGATAAAAAAGTTTTTCAACCCATCAGATGAACCAACCAGTGATTTTAAGTTAATTTGACTTTTTCGTAACAGCAAATTAAAAAGAAGTTCCCCACAACAAATAGGAAATACTAGATGTTCTTTTTTTTTAGATGGAAAATGCTCATACTACCTCGAGTGGGTATAATGTAAACAAACATAAAACGTGGGGTAATATAGCAGGACATGAACATTTTGGGACAACTGTATAAACATTGGGATTATGGTAGGTAGTAGTTTGTTACCGTCACTCATGCTGGCGTGTATCTTCAGCCGGCTCTGGGAAAGGATGGCTGAATGTATATTTTTATCTTGATGTGTGTGTGTGTGTGTGTGTGTGTTTATATATATAAATAGCGATAATTAACCGATTAAGCTTCAAAACGCAACTTAGGTTCATGCCAAATGGTGATAACTATTATTATTGCTATAACCTACCAGAAATTGATTAATAAATGTCAAAATCCAAAATCAATCATCCTGTTAGTTATTTAGATCTCTATGTTTTAATATATTAAACTATAATTTTCATAGCAATGGAATGGCCATAGAAAAGACGATCGACGTAATTGAACTTTTGCGTGGAAATTAAGTTCTGTGGAATCTCTTTATTCTGCAAAATTATATTTGTTGCAACGCACAGTCAGAATATTCGCTGTGTACTCAAATAAATAACCAGTTTAGGAGATCGGGGCCCGGATTCCCCAACCTTCCTCGTTACAGTAGATACTGTACAGTCATGAACGCACACAGTCTATAGCGTATACGCTAAATCATGTCTAAAATGCTATCAAAATTAAAGACTTTACCTTTAGTACCTACAATAAGATCACTTAGCATCAACGTTAAGAGTAAACTTAACTTGCAGCATCTTTGTGAATCAGGAATAACTATTTTTTCCCCACTGAAGAATCCAGTTAGCTAGAGGCAAAAACTCCTGCCAATTCACCTTAATTATGTTGAGGTGATGGACGGAGCTGATAAACTCCAGTGCGTGGTGGTCATGAAGGCCCCCCCCCTACCCGACACACACACACACACGTTGAGATACACACGTACAAACATAGCTGACCACACTCCATAAACCATTTCCTTGTGTAAGTCCAACACGATAGATAACCTTCCATGTACAAGTACAGTCTTGTGTTTAACATACCAAGGTGTAAGGGGGAGGTGCACATACTTGTATAAGTTTGTGTTGTTACGTTAAGAAACTTGTATCAGTTATAGTATTTCACGTTTGTTTTACATTTTTAAGCAGACTAGACTGAGTACAACACCCCACAAAATCTAGTTAATCTGTACTCCCAGTTCACTGTATGTTCATATACAGTATTCGTATGTATTAAAAACTATACATGGTTTCTGGTGAAAAAATGAGTTTTCAGACTTAAAATAACTGGTTTATTCTCTTACCTTGGGTCTTGCCAGAAAAGAGTTCATATTAAATAATGAAATTTTTTTTTTATAAATGTTGAGTTTAGCTCCGCCAATTTATTTATTTATATTTCTTGGCGGATCTTCACTGGTATCTGGCTAGCACTTATGAAGCAGAATACACAAACCAACTAACCCATTAATAACCAGAATAAGATAGGTTATAGGTTATGTTGCTCTCGGTTGGCTTGTGTGAATTAATTTCACAAATGACTTTTCACACTGATATTTACCCTGATCCTTCGTCAGATTTTTCTTTTATAAACTATCGCCAACTTATCAGTGAGAGTCCCGTCTAAAAATAGCATGAAATTAAGGGGAGGAGCTAAACTGAACAATTACCCATGTTATTCACTCGGCAAGATCCTAGTGTAATTATAAATACTAATGAGAGCACTGTACTGGTCCTTTCCGTGTGTGTGTGTGTGTGTGTGTGAAATCTTGAATCGTACCTACGCAAGTGACAATAAACTATTGAGAAGATTAAGTATTTACCTAAAACAATGACAATGTAGTACAAGGAACTGGTCGTCGTCATCCTCGTCGGCAGACTCCAGCGAGTCCCGTCTCGACGATGAAGAGGCTACGGAAAACAAAAATATGAATATAGAACATAATGTAATGTACATACTTCAGTGATACTGTGTTCCAGTTAAACTTCATGACTTCTGAGTGAATTAAATATATTACAAGCCCTTTTGGTAAATGGATATGATAAATTCACCTCATATATTGTACTGTATTTTAAAGCAGTTTTGAAAATAAATATGTAATGTCACACTAATGTAAATAAATGTCAATAAACTCTACAGCAAAACAGGTTATGACGTTGTAGTGGACGTCTCCCCTACAACTTCCTACAACTGCGTAGCCACAGCCACCACCTGCTACCGCCTCCCTAGCAACCAACCAGATGTTACCGTATCTTAGCAACGGAACTAGTCACCGGCGACTTTCTGGGTTTTCCCAACATGATTCATAGAGGACTGGCGGCTGCTGCTGGGTATATAAGCTCTGTCTCTCCATTGAGATTGATTCTGACCATTCTTCTTGAACAAGCAACACCTCCTCCTCCGCCGCTGCCTGGCTGCCTTCGCTCCTCCTCGCCTGCCTGGCGGTCCTCGCTCCCGCCAGCGAGCATGGCGACCCACCAGCTGTCCTTCTCTGAGCTTCCTCACCAACCAACTCTCATTCTGGCCCATCTTCCTGAACACGCAACACCTCCTCCAGCAAGCTCCACGCTGTTAGCATTCATTCAATCAGGAGGCCAGCAACAGGCATCATCTTCTCTAACGAATCTCCTGCACATCTACCTCCTTCAACACGCTACTCACCGAACGTCTTCTACTGAGCAGCTCCTCACCACACGGCACCTCCAGCACCAGACTGTCTATCATATAACTTATATTATATAAGAAAACCACATTAGAGTTTCCTTCCATCCTGAGTGCTAGACAACATTAATATTTCGATACCCCTACAACGTCACCACAAGGGGTGAGGGCGTATCAAACCAAGGTAAAACCTGCCACTGTTTCAAATCAATGGATCCAGAGTTGAGGGAATTGCTTGCAAGAAAAAGTAGAAAAAAATCGTGGAAAATATTACCACCAAAACAAACCCAATTGTTTACAATTTCCTTGCACACTTTCTTAGCCACTTGTCACCATACTAGTTAGTTCTGTTGCGCACTGTTGGCAAGTATTGGGCGTGCCTAGGTTTTTGAATGTATCTACAATTAATACAGTATGCGCCCACTTACCTATCATACCCAATACTTAAGCCCTCACATGTATCCTCAGATGTTATGACAAGTTCAAGGATGTAAAAGTCGTAAATGACGCCCAGGCATAAAAATATCATAACAAACACGGAATGTCTAATTAATGCCAAAACAATGAAACTCCTAAAAATACCTAAATGTTATAAATAAGACTTGGAAGACCACACATCAGTAAAACAAGAATCGCATACGAACGAAATCACAAACAACATTTGGAATATAGCCCACAAACATTCATAAACAAAGAACTTTAATTTAACATAATATAAGTTCTAAATCGCCTCCCACTTTTTAACAAAAACATCACTTGAGTCCATAACAATTAGCTCCAATCACACAGAAAATAATAACGAAACACCTGCAACAATCACAAGAGAAACAATAATTACAAGCCACAAGCAATACAGTTCATCAAATAACCGCCAGGTGACAATAATCAGGCACAGTTCCTTCAGTAAACATCACCACTCTCAGATTAAACCTCACAGCACACACAAAGCAATCACAGCAGAAGGTAGACCCACCATGGGAGCTGAGCCTGGAACAGAGGCGGGCAAGGAGTAGCAGCAGCCAGCAACACAAAGAGCGCGCGGCAGGTGAGCGTGTGCTAGGCGGTCCCTCACAGCAACACACGCCCGCCCACCACAACCTTACCCTCTGTGGATATGGTACGTCTGCCCTGTGTCGTCTGCCCCGTGTCTACTGCCCCATGGACCCTCTGCTCACTCTGACGCCGCACCCAGGAGGAAGAGGAGTGGGTGCAGGAATGGGGGGGGGGGGATAAAGAAGGGGAGGAGGTCTCAAGGGGTTAGTAGTGGACGGGATGTGGGTAGGGTAAGGCAGGGCGTAGTGACTTTGTGGTTGAAGATAGATAACTGTAGAGCAGACGGGTGAGAGGACTGAGAGGTGGAGAAAGGTGGTGAGAAACAGGGTTAAGGAATGAGATGACGGGTAGTACAGGAATGGTCATCAGTATAGTCGGTTGGAGACGAAGTAACAATGAGGAATAAGGAATTGGAACTAAAGAAGGAGGAGCCAGCACTTGAGTTGTAAAATGAAAGTTATGGATAATGAGGAATGAGCGATGTTAAGCGGAGAGAAAAAGACACAAAAAGTGTGTCAGGGGAGGTGGGCGGAGGTGGTGACCATGAGGGGGCACGTAGTTACTGTAGGTCCGGCCAGGGTCTAGCCAGTGAATTAGGGAGGTGATGGTGTGAGAACAGAGCGGGTGATGGATGGTGATGATGTGGGCGGAGGGAAGGCGGTGGCATGGTAGGGGTAAAAAGCATGAGGAGAGGTGAGGGTGTGTGTCAGTCTTTGTGGTGAGGCGGTGAAGTTTTTTTTTCCATCAAATTAAGCTCAACTAAACAAAGGTTAAGTGGAGGTAAGGGTTGCGTACTCCACCACGCTCGGTAAACACAAATCTGGAATGGAATGGAAAGGATGGATCGCAGAGCTGCTCAGCACGTAGAATTGACAGATATCTCGTTTATTTACCAAGGTTAAGTGAAACTATACCATATCAATACAGCGAATAACCGTCCCGTCGTGAAAGTGCCTATATAAACTCATTAGCATATTACAAATAATATATCTATAACAGTAAGTTGCTATAATCATTCTACTTCAGCGGCACTTTGCATCACCGGATACTAATTATGTATGACATATTCACCAAAGCCCAAGTGATGGAGTAGATCTACGGTGAGTTACAGACCATGTTTGATCTATCCATACCATGATATCGTATTAGCATAATGTACTTGTTCCTTGTTGAGTACACCTTTCAAGACTTCTTGGAGCAAACAATCAGGGTAAACTAACCTCTCCAGCCGACTTCCTTGATTTACCACTATTGCCTTAAGGTTTTATTAAGCTAATTACCTAAGTAGCATTGGCGTAAGTTCTAAAAAAATATTACTTATAGTCACCTGTACGACATCTGGTTAAGGAATTCTGGCGTCATTATACTGTAAATACGTAGGGCAACGACACTCCTGTAACAAACGAGAAGCCATCTTGTAATGAAGGTCTAATTGCTTGATTCATGAGCGATGAAGACCACCTAAATCTGCATAAACGGAGAACTTAAATATAACTACCATAGACATCAACAGTACTAATAACAAATGTTCACACTGGGAGATGACACTGGTCGCAAAGCTTTGAAGGCCGCTCAGTTGCCCAGTCTGACCAAAAGTAAACAAAGAGGCCGACTTAAGTTCAGTTGTATGGTAATGGCATCTGGCGTTCCACCACGGTCACCACCCCACACGGGAAGTCTGGCAGCGTCCTGTTTAATCCCAACAGCGTTCCCTTTTGGCTGTCTTTAAAACTTCCACTACTCTACGTATTTCTTATCTAACACTTGCGAATACACGAATGGTAAGTACTTTTTACGGATGTCGTGTGATGGTGTTATAATAGTTAAAGTCCACTTTATTCCTTGATGGTCTGATGCACAAATTTCCATTTTGTCTACACCTGCCTGGGTTCCCATTTCGTCAACTCCCGAATACCTACAATAAGTTAGAGATCTCTGAAAGTTATTTTACCTGACCAAGTGATGTTGCTGGTATTGCCCTGACTGCATAGTCAAGGTGAAGGAGGCGATTGCAAGCCACAAGGGAACGAGTTCCCTAGGGACGAAAATAGATGAAGCTGGAGCCCTGCTGGTTGCCAAACTAGAGCAAGTTGGGAAAGAGATCCTTGTTAAGACTGAGGAAGTCGCGGATAGAATGGAGGTGGTTGCTTAGAGAAGTTATGATGAGGCATTAGCAGGGTCACGGAGGGGGGGGGGGTGGCGGAGAGTAATACAGGATCAGAACAGGTTCTACAACAGCTACGGACTTTGAAGAAGTGTGTCGAAGAAATGAAAATTAACAGGCCTACTGTTTGGGGAGAGGAGGAACAACAGGAACGTTTCCAGCGCAGGAACTGAGAGTAAGGTAACACGCGATAAGATGCAGTTTCAGACTATTTGTACAGAGGTTCTGACGATGTCATCAACCCCACAGGAGGTGAGGAGGCTGGGACAAAAGCAAGGGGATAAGCCTCACCCCCTCAGGAACACACTATTGAGCGAGGAGGAGAAATGGGGGGTTATTCGGCAGGCAAAATACTTAGCAAGGAGCGAGGCATCTCGGGGTGTATTCATTCACCCAGATCGCACGGTAATGCAGAGGGAGCAGCACAAGAAGCTCCTGCAGGACTTAGAGCAGAAGAGGGAGGAGTCGAGGAGGAATGGGGACGGGTGTACATGGGTTATATTCAGGGGGAGGGTTGTGGAAGCAAGTGTGCCGACACAGGGCCAGGGGGCAGTAGCGCACCCTCTACCCGCTCTACCCACCTCCCCCCCGGGAGGTGGCACCAGCTCCGCCTACCAGACAGGAGGAGGCGAGCGCAGTGTAAACAATAACATTTCTAACCACACCCTGCAAAATACAATGTACCTAGCAAATGCTGCAGCTTCTGAGAATGGGGGGGTGATTACTACTAAGAGCAGAGACATTGTGGGGCATGGGATGTTTGGGTTCACACTCAGGATGGGATGGAGAAAGGAAACTCACAATGTGCTCTCTGTATACATGTTGTATTGGATGTACAATGCAGCTTGGTGCTGGGAAGTGGCAGCATGGTTACAAGCGTGATGTAGAGAGAGCTGGTTGGTGAGGATGCTCAGAGGAGGACAGCTTGTGGGTCGCCATGCTCGCCGGCGGGAGCGAGGGCCGCCAGGCAGCGGCGGAGGAGGAGGTGTAGCTTGCTGTGGCTGTAGCTAGAAGAGAGAGCTGGTTGGTGAGGATGCTCAGAGGAGGACCAGCTTGTGGGTCGCCCTGCTCTCCGGCGGGAGCGAGGACCGCCAGGTAGGCGGAGGAGGAGGAGGTGTTGCTGGCTGGTTGGTGTAGGTAGAGAGAGAGATCACCACGAGGTCAGGTCTTAAATAGCGGGGGTAGGCGTGGCTTAGTAGTTGACCTCCGTGAAGTATGGCGGCGCTGGTTGACCCAGACCACGAGGCATACACTGGGGAATTCGCGGGGTCGGCTACGCAGCGACAAACAGCGTTTGTAGGGGAGAAATCCACTACAACATTACCGAGAACAAATTCTGGCTTGAATGTCATGTACACAAATACTGACATGTTTCTTGATAAGAGAGAGGAGTTTGAAACACTACTGAAAGTGCACCAACCAGATATTGTGGTAGTTGTCGAACTGTTGTAGAAGAACAGGAGAATCGACCCAGAGGAATGTGAGTTCAGTATTGCTGGATATGACTCATTTATGAACCTTTCTCAAGAAACTTGCAAGAGGGGTGTGGTTATCTATGCTAGGCAAGACCTGAGAGCCAGCCAGGCGAGGGTACAGGGAGAGGATGTTTTTGAAGAGTCCAAGTGGTGTAAAATTAAATTAAAGGGAGGGGATTTACTTATCGTCGGGTGTATCTACAGATCCCCAAACTGTGGCCCACTAAATCAAAGGAATTTAAGAGCCTTAATAGACAATGAGGCCATACTCAACCCTAGCCACCTCCTTTTTATGGGATACTTTAACTATGGCGACATCGACTGGAGAAAAGAGTTCACCCCAAATGACTTAAATAACCCTGCTACTCTTTTTGTAGAAACTCTGAGAGATAATTTTCTGTTCCAAAATGTTAGAGACCCGACACATTACAGAGGGGAGCAAACACCCAAGCCACTAGACCTCATCATAACAAACGAGGAGGGTATGGTGGCCAAACTGGAACACCTTGCCCCAGTTGGCACCAGTCGCCATATAGTGTTGTCATTCAGATGTAACTGTTACCAAGTTCAGGATAAGGCCAGGCCAAGGTGCAAATATTACAAGGGGAATTACAACGGGATGAGGGAAGAGATGAGGGGTATCAACTGGCCTGACTCATTAAGGCACAAGAACGCAGACACTACGCTGAATATCATAACTAGTAAAGTGACCCATTTGATCGATAAATATATACCCAAGACCAAACCCAGTGCCTCTAGGAATACGAGGGGATCCCTACACATGAACCACGCGGCGGTCGACAAATTTAAGAAAACCCAGAAATTCAAGATGTGGGTTGGGTCAAACGATGAGCAGGACAGGAGGATGTATGCAAGAGCCAGAAACCAAGCAAAGATAGAGTGTAGAAGGGCTGAAAAGGAGTTCCAGAGGCTGGTTGCAAGCGAGGTCAAGTCAAACCCAAAGCCGGTTTACTGTTATGCAAAGTCGAAATTAAAACGCGAGTAGGAATAACAAACCTGAGGTTTGAAGATGGTAGTTACGCAGATTCTGACCAGGATAAAGATGAGGCATTGAACAGCTTCTTTTCCTCGGTGTTAACAAGAGAGGATACGATTAACCTTCCTGCGTTTGAGTACAGACGGTTCGACGCAGCACTGACCCACATTGTGTCCACAGAAGTGGGTATTAGAAATAAACTGTCATAGCTAACGGTCCATAAGAGTCCCGACCCTGACATGCTGCATCCTAAAGTGCTAAGAGAGTTGTGTAACGAGGTTGCCGAGCACCTGAATATCCTGTTTTGAGAATGCCTGGATGAGCAAAAGGTCCCCAGTGAATGGAAAGTGGCTTATGTGAGTTCTATCTTCAAGAAGGGCGATAGTCACTCCACGAACAACTATAGACCGGTGAGCCTGACCAGCATAATATGTAAAGTACTTGGGAGTATTATCAGAGATGCAGCAATGGAACATCTACTACGAAACAACCTTGTAAAGGATTGCCAACACGGTTTTATGCCGGGGCGCTCCTGCTTAACACAATTGCTCAAGGTATTGGATATTTGGACCCATATTCTGGAACGGGGTGGTAATATCGACAATATTTACCTAGATTTTGCCAAGGCTTTCGACAGTGTACCCTACAAAAGGCTGAAAATCAAACTGGAAGGGTATGGAATTCGGGAAAATTTCCTAGCGTGGATAGAAGACTTTCTACATGACCACAAACAGTGTGTGGAGATTAATGGCACAAAATCATCATCCGTACCTGTCACAAGCGGGGCAGTGTATTGGGCCCGCTGTTGTTTGTTTGTTTCATAAATGACATGCCTGACGTTGTACACTCCTCCATACAAATGTTTGCCGATGACGCCAAGTTATTTCGGGAAATCAAGAACCAAGCGGACTGTGAAGAGCTGCAGAAGGACCTCTGTGGGCTCCAAGAATGGTCGAAGAAATGGCTGCTGAGATTCAATGTCACGAAGTGTAAGAGGATGCACCTGGGGCGTACCAACGGGAAGGAGGCGTATCATGTGTCCCAACGGGATGAAGAAACTGCACTATTTGAGACTGAATGTGAGAAGGACCTAGGTGTGTATGTTGATAATGAGCTGAAGTTCTCGGGCCATTGCGAGAAGAAGGTAAATCAGGCAAATAAATTATTGGGTCTTATAAGAAGGTCGTTCAGATATCTAGACGGTCTGTCCCTAGTAACGATCTTCAAGAGTGAAGTGCTTCCCCATCTGGAGTACTGTCACCCCGCCTGGTCCCTGAGATATGCTAGGGACTGTCAGTTGGTTGAAAATGTTCAAAGGAGGGCCACCAGACTGGTGCCTGCACTTCGGCACCTCAGCTACCCTGATAGATTGGAGCGCCTGAACTTGCCGAGCTTATACTACAGACGGGCAAGGGGTGACCTAATTGAGGTGTATAGGCATCTCAAGGGGCACTACTCAGTCGAGTGTCCTTACTTGGAGCTGGCGGATGCTCGCCCCACAAGGGGTCACAGCTCAAGAGTGAAGAAGCGGCAAGTCCAGAAAACTGTGAGGGCAAATTTTTTCGCAGTGAGAGTTGTGAACTCTTGGAACAATCTACCAGAAAGTGTTGTGACGGCACCGAGTGTGAGCTCTTTCCAGACCAGACCTGACCAACACTGGAGCAGGTTCAGGTACATGCAGGAGCCGGTGCATGCCCAGTACTTGACAACAGTGCGTAACAGAGACGTGACCGATCGCCCAAGCGACTAACGAGTCGATCATTTCGTGAAGAGGATAAAAGAAAAGAAGAAAAGTAACGTAACCTCTTAACGCCACTGTTCAATACTAGTTAAAGTACTAGTAAGTTACTAGTATTTTATCCTTGGTTGCATGGGGTATTCTTACCCATTCTTTAAATGAGAACCTCTTAACGCCGCATTAGCCAGAAGAAATTGCCTAATATACTAAGATCTTTGAAAATATTAATTTATTGTCGTTGTGTATCCTTAAAAAATGTTGACAGGATTATGAAATACAGTACTTTTACTAGATCTTAGTTTATTTAGGATTTTTTTAGAATATGAAATAATTAAATTATTATTATTATTATCATTATTCCTTAGAAGGTATTTTATGAACCATTTTAATTTGTAAACAAAGGTTAAGCCCATATACGAAGGAGACATATCAATGATTTTTGGTATTGAACTTTTTTTATTTTGATATCCATATTAAAATATTTTGTAGTATAATTACAATAGAAAATATTGAATAAAAATATGCATATCAAACCTTGGTTGATTATATATTGCGATTTCTTTAAGATTTCACATCTTTTATATAACCCGGAAATAAATAATCACGTACAATAGATGAATTACTTCACTACAAATAATCTTCATTGACATTGTCTTCATCGCGATTATTTCATACGTCATCATAAATTGGCAAGTTATATAGCCTCATTTGTACTGTTTAAAGTTCAAAGGTATCATATAAATAAATATTATTTGTTATTTGTTGACCTTCAGTGTTGGTCCAAACTAGGAACTTCTCTTACCTATATTGATATTCATTCAGTAAAATCGCCTTGCAGTTTCTCGTTGGTTCAGTTTGTAGATAAACAATGCAGTTAGTAAAATAATTAATCGATTCAGCTTATAATAACCGAGGAAGCTATTAAAACACGACCCCCTCAGTCAAGTTGTGGCATTACTTTATCCTCTCTTAGGCACACCTTGGCTGGGGCAGGAAGCTTGTGGCTTTTCTTTATTCTGTCATCGGTAATTATTGACGCCTACTACTCCGCTGATTTTTCATAGAAAACATTTAAAAATACTGCAATTTCACTGTATTTTATAATGGACACTAGTAGTTATGGCAAATGTGTTAAAAAGTTTATTTAAAAGTTCAACCTAACCTTACCTAAAATAG